CTGTCAAAAAACGATGAAAATATGACGCTTCTTCTTAAGTCAAAAACTGAATTTTTCTTTAGTTTGTATAATTAATATTTAATAGCTTAATTTGCATTGTGTTGTTGTTTTTTCATTATTGTTTTTGTTTATTTATTTATTTTTATTTTTTCATTCATTATCCTGAAATTAAATTAATGTAACCGTGATCACCTAATTTTCAAAATGTTTAAACACTAAAATGGCCTCAAGCCTTTAAAAACAGTTTTTTTTTTTTTTAACGATCTCTCGTCTTGGCTTAAAACAATTAACAAAAAAAAAGACACGTAAGTAAAGTTCAAACAAATCTGTCAAAAAACGATGAAAATATGACGCTTCTTCTTAAGTCAAAAACTGAATTTTTCTTCAAAAATGTTGAAACACTAAAACGTCTTCAAGCCTTTAAAAACAGTTTTTCTTTCTTATCAATCTCTCTGTCTTGGCTTAAAACAATTCCAAAAAAACGACACGTAAGTAAAGTTTAAACAAATCTGTCAAAAAACGATGAAAATCTCACTTGTTTGTGCATATTACGCGAATCCGTGGATTCCTTCGGACGAACGGTCTCGCCACTGTCGCCTCTTTTAATTAAACTCTATTTTTAAATAACTGATTTGTGGTCTGGCAATGTTGTTGTTACCACTGTGAGTAACAAGCCGGGAGGAAAATAAACTAAAGAGCACAAATAACATTCAACACATCGCAATTTTCCACTAATTCCAAAAATTCTTGGAAAACAGAAGCAAATTATTAAACCACAGGTGTTTTCATAAGTATAATTTTCATACGGGTTAAATTCCTTTGCGGATCATAAACATTAATAAGTATTATATATTATATAAAAAAGTAAAGACGTAAAATATAACGTTCAGTATTTATTTGATGACTATCATCAAAGAAAAACCTGGATTTTTGCAAAACAAATTGGCCTAATTGTGCGTCATTTGATAGTCAATTCTTCCTCTTCGATGATGAAATTAAATTGCTTAAGGGACGGCTGGTGTGGCCATGTGGGGAGGCCGATGCCAGCGAGAAACGGGTCAAAAGCCCCGTTTTATAAATAAAATATTTGACAATACTTGTGTCAACGACCTAAAACACATCACGCAGAAATTAGATTTTTTTTTTTTAATATTAACAATATCGCATGATTCTGTCTAGCTTTATTGAATAGATGAGGCTTTTTTTAACATTTGTTTCCACTGTGGAAGTTAACCACGAAACCACGTAAACAATTATCCTATTTAGATTTTGTCCAATATCTTTGTTACCTTGTTACTTAATTCATGGCAAAATTCGTTGTTGTGTTCTTCATCCTCAGATGTTTGGACGAAGGGTCTGGCTGTTAAGTTCTATACCCAAGTACCCAAGTATGATCGCGAAACTATATCAATGGGTAACCGAATTTCTAAATCACAGTTCCCCGGCTGCGGAACTTCTGTTTCATTGATAATTATTTTTGATTTTGAGAAATTCGCCTAGTTTTGTAAGCTGAATGCTTTTCTGTAGAACCTGAGGACGATCAATCACAATCGTCCGACTTGAATTTCATCAAACCAGCTCAACCACTAGGTCGTTTATAAACAGAAGCAGCAAAGAGAAGTGGGCTCAATGTGAAGCTGTGGGACTTCACAGGATACTGATAAATTTTCGGTTTTACCCACTCTTGCCCACACTGTCCCAAATAAGCCTCCTGAAGAATCCATCACTCCTAGAGACGTTCAAGCCTGAAGGTGTTACATTATTGACTTCTCTTAGTGCTTAAAAAAATTCCCATCATTTTTGTACAGATGGTTTCCAAATTTACTTTTACTAACTTACAATACAGGAATATTTGAACTAAATGAAACTCTGGGCAAAACGGGCTTAATTTAATTGTATGAACATCCCAGGCTACAGTGGATCCAGTTCCTCCATTACCTTGTATCATCCAATTTACAATTAACAATCATTCGATTTCCTTCTGCCCCACTTGTGTAATTGTCCTTAAATCCCCATTTCTCATGTATCAAACTGGTCCTTTTCACCCTCCATCGTGTTACTTTCTCCTTAGTTTATTTTTTTGTTCTATCCTATTTTGACTGCAATCGGATTAGGTGGGACTCACTGAGCTTGAAGATCAGCTTAAATATCTAACTTTTTTTCTGAAGTGGTTATACCCCAATCTCACCACTCAGATCCTCTTTACAAGTCATAGAGTGTAGCGTTTATTTCCAAATTATTAGTTGGTAGTGTGTCGAGGTTTTTCTATAGTTGCCGAGGATTATCTACCACAGTCGCTCAGCTCTAATTTTACCTTCCACCTCATCCACTCGCCCATAAAGAGAGCAAATTGAAGTGGACTCAATGGGCAGCCCTGGGTGACTCCATAGGATACTGAGAAGTTTTCGGTTCTGTCTACCATTGGCCATACTAATGGCCTAATGCTGGAATACAAATAGTCTCCGTCCCAATAAAGCTGTCCTCTCGATTAGCTTCCATGCTTCTCAAGATCTTCCAGAATTTAGTAGACTTGATTTATACAATCATTACCACCACACACGTTCCAGTTTGGGTCCTTCATCTTGTAGATTGGTTATAACAAAGTTCGTTGCCCGTTCGAGTGAGGAGTTTTTTTAGGCCACAGTTCGATCAGATCTTGACCTCAAGAGACTTAAATTTCCAGTCGTTGCTTTTTCAAGCTCCTTCAGTTCAGTCAATCCAATTTCCAAGGTACCTTTCTTGTTCTCCCCTTCTTTAATTTGTCTTGCGATAATGTGATTAAAGGTCTAATGAATTATTTTAGTTTATCTTCGGCTACCGAAGGATACCCTTGTGATCTGTACACCCTTCCTACTACAAGTCTCGTTTGGCTTCTGCCTCTATTAGATATCTACCAATTTCAGGATTCTCCTCATTTTCAGATCCTCAGTACACCTCCGTCAAACGCGCTACCACCCTTAAGACCTCAGAGCATACAACTACTTCAGCAGTTTCTTTTTCATCCGTGCCTCCAACCTATCGAATTCCCTTCCTCACCATATCCGTCGATGTAGAAAGGCCAATCGAGTTATCCTAAATCTCATGAATTTAAAATACCTAATCCATATGCTAAATTTGGTTTTATATAAAGTCGATTAAAGATTTGACAAGTCACATCTTTAAGAGATAAAACAGCGTCGATTATATTTTGGCTTTGAACCCAGTGGGTCAAGAGTTTCAAGAGCCAACGCCCAGCCTTCCCAATGTGATTCCACGATTATTTTGATAAAACTTGCATGGATGTCAAACTTTTTTATACTAGTCGGATTATTATCTAATTAATTATGCTGAAACCGACGCTAATAGTTCCACCATATTAAGAATATAATACTTTTTTATTCTGCTCGTAAAAAACATTGGTAAAAATGAACATTACTGGATATTTCGTACAATATACCACAGACAGTTCGTTACTGTTACTTAAAATTTTATGGACAGGTTTAATTAAATATTGAAATCAACTAGAAGCCCAGTTAAAGCAAAACCGAACAGTCTTGTTTTCTGCTTTACCGTTTATTCGCCTATTTTCGTGCCTGAGATATAATAATAAACACAAGTTTTCTTTGGCACACGGCCCCTCTCAAAGAGGTTCATAGTGATGGATGTGCCAATTTTAAATATTCCAGTTGAGATTTAGCCCTAAAAGTGGCCGGAATTTTTTCTTAGATAATTCTAAACTTTGGTAAACAATGTTCAACAATTTTACGACTGTAGAAAACTTCAAACCACAAAAGTAAAAGTTAAAAAGAACCGGTATGAGGCTAAAATATCAAGCCTTCAAAAAACTACCATCTGAAGCAATAGTTAAAATACAACTATAATTCTTACTTACGACTCGGTAAAATCTGGTTAACATAGATGATGATTGGGTCATATCTAGGTCAGAATAGGTACTGGCCAGCTTTCAGCTAATACTTTCAAGACCTTCAAAAAATAAATTTAAAAAGATAGAGAGAGAGTGAGTGAGAAAGAGAGTGAAGGAGAGGGAAATGGTGAGGGGAGGGTGAGGGGAGGGGGAGGGGGAGGAAGAGAGAGAGTAAAGGAGAAGGGAAAGGGTGAGGGTGAGGGAGAGGGTGAGGGTGAGGGTGAGGGAGAGGGAGAGGGAGAGGGAGAGGGTAAGGGAGAGGAAGAGAGAGTGAAGGAGAGGCAGCCTTTTCACCCGCGGAACCTGAACTAGATATGTCGAAGAGTCTACGGAATTTGTAGCTGGAAAAAGATTTGGTTGAGAAATACAAACTCAAACACGTATGAGGTGGGTTCTGGGGCATGAAGATTTAGAAGGAAATGAACAGGCACCACCAACTAGCCAAAGAAGGGGCAGCTACATGAGAGGGCAAAGATCTACATACTTTTGGACAGTCAGGCAACTATAAATACATATGCTTTTAGCTCCAAGGAATGCTTAGATACATTAGGCACTCTCGGGAAACACAACAATAGGCGTTTCAGGACATGAGGTATAGAAGAAAACCAACTAGCCAACCTGACCAACTAGCCAGGGGGCAGCCCACTGGAACTAAAACTAAGTACATCGGGAGTATGTTAAAGTTGGAGCTGGAAATATGACTTGAGAAAGAAAAAGACAAAAACTTTGAGATGGATTCCAAAACATGAAAGTATAGAAGAAAACAAACAGGCTAACAAACTAGTCAAACAACGAGCAGCCTTCTCATCCATGGGACCTGAACTAGGAGGAACACCAGAGAGTGTGTTAAAGCTGCAGCTGGAAAAGTACTCATACACATGGGAGACAGGCTCAAAGACATGAAGGTTTAGAAGGAAGCGAAAAGTCTGACCAACCATCAACATAAGGAGCAGCCCTCTCTCTCGGACTTAATTTTCTTTTAAATTGACTGATAATTATTTATAGCCAGTTTATCATTTTTTCTACATACATTACTCATAGATTTTTACTTCAATGCCTAACCTGTAATAAAATATTTCTTCTTTTTTTCATATAGGAACTTGTCAGGTATTCTGAGAAATTAAACGAGGACACAACCGACCTAAGCAAGGCTTTGGAGTTGATGCTCGGTATCCCTCATCGATCAAACGATTTGAAATACATAAATAATATAGAAGGATACCACGGGGATATTCACAAACTTGGACGCCTTTTAAGACATGTGAGCTCAATAAAATTATTATTTACCTAAAAATGATAAAACATTAAATAACTGGCTCTATCTCATCTTGTCAGAAATGTATCAGATATGATTTGAGACACTTTTTACACTCTCTTTCAGAACTGGTTCAAGTTGAAAGGAAAAGACGGAAAAACACATGAACGATATCTATTCCTCTTCAAAGCTAGGATTCTAGTTTGCAAAGTAAGGAAAATTGGTGACGGTAGATATGTGTTTGTTCTTAAGGAGATAATAAGGGTAATTACAATTTTTTAATGTTAAACAACATGAAAGCCATATTGTTACTGCTATAATTGTTGTAATCAGCTACCTGAGGTTGAAGTCAAAGATCAAAACGATTCTCAGTCATTCGACGTTGGACCCTACACCCTAACAAGCCACGGAGACAACGCCAAAGAACCTTGGCTTGCGGAAATACAACATTACGCACGAAACGCACGTAAGTTTATTATCAACTCAACAAATTGTTCGAATTTGTTTTATATTCCAAAACTCAAGTTTCACGGGAAAATATTGAATCATGGATATGTAACCTAACCCTAAACCTAATCCTAATCCAACCCTAAAAGCCCACTTAACTGGCAGAGATGAGGTATCGCGGTTTCTGGTGATCTGGGCGAGCTTGTGTGATCTTTTCTCTTAATAATGGGCATTGAAACAATATTTGATGATCCAGTCTCAAAATTCTCAAATTCTATCTATATTTTGATTATGTTAAAATAAATATAAAGTTATATCAAAAAGAAAATTATTTTCTTAGATATAACGCTATACATTTACTACCAAGAACTTAATAAACTGTGACCAATTTAGCTCTCAGTTCAGGTGAGCCTTACTGAGATGAGTTTTTGTTCCGTTCAGCAAATGCTCTTTTCTTGTAGCAGTTGAAAATTTTACAGATGGATTCTTGACATTATGGGTCATGTTGAGTGTCCCATAGAATCGCATCGCTTTAGAATCTGGTTTGCATTCAGCATCGCATCTTTAGCAGTGTAAATGCCATTTAACCCTGCATAACCTAAACCTGATTCTTACCCTAAATCTGACCCGTCCCCCCACAACCTATCCCTCCTTTACCTAACCATTATCCTAATGCTGACCCTCATTCTCCCTAACCTCACTCTGACCCTAACCCTACCTAACCAAAACCTCACCAACCCATAATCCTAAAATTTCCTAAACTAACGATATTCCTAACCGTAATAGTAATCCTTACTCTAACGACCACTAACCTAAATTGGCCCATCCATAATTCTAACTTTTCCAACCCTACCTTGGCCTGACTCTCACCTCAACTCCACCTATCCTAATTCTGCTTAACCTAAACCTAATCCTAGCCCTACTTTCACATAACCTAACTTGACCCGTCCCTAATCCTAACCCTACCAACCAAACCAGAATCCTAAATCTTACTCTACCTAAACTTACTTAACATGACTCTAACCCTAACATTTCCTAACCCAACTCTATTCTTAATCGTAATCTTAACCTTAACCAAATCCTAAACCAACTCTCTCTCACTAACCTTTAATTAGTTAATTCATCCATAACCCTAACCATACCTAACCACGTTCATCTTTTAGCCTAACTTAGCCCGACTCTAACCTCAACCCTACTTTACCAGACCACTCTTAACCCTAACTCTGTCTCTAATCTAGACCTAATCTTTACCTTAACTATAACCATTCTTAGTGTAATCTAACCTTAATGCTAATACTCACTCCACCTTCTTCATGGAAATTTCTTATCCAGCTCAAATACATATCCATGTTAATTAATATATTAGGAAAAGTAGGCATTTTATTGTGGTTTTGTGGTACAAAATATATAATCTGTGATGCTTTATATGCATCCAGTACCCTCATTTTGAAAGGAGTGTCAACCAATTTATATTGAATGTAATTAATTATGTAACTGTTAGATGTTTTGTTACATTTATTCATTAAAAAAATTTGTTTAGTAACATTAGCTGAACACGCTGCGGATGATTTACGACTCAAAGAGGACGATAACAAAAATATTGTACCATTGAAAGGAATCGAATTAGATACTGTGCCCGGACAACTTTCAGACGAAGACATGGATAAATCAACGAGTTTGGCAAGCAGGCGAACTTCTTTGACCAAACGTGTTGAAGGTAACGATTGTAACAGACTATTACAGATCCAACATGCCATACATTTTTAAACAAAATCATACAAAATTTGAGAAATATTTACCCAACATATTCAAGTATGTATGTGACAATTTTAAGTATGGATGCTAAAAAAAAAGATATAGATAAACTTAAATTTTTTCTATTATGTAACTTTTAATGACACTGTTTCTTCAGCAGCACATGAACACATTCACTAAGGTTAATATACATTTTATGTATTCTGACTCATAATGTGGTGAACAATGCAATATTTTGTTGTATACATTTCAATGTTGTAAGATATGAATTGTTTATTTATCCTAATTATTTTTTAAAGGTTAATTTTCTTAAATAGATATAACCATTAGTGCACGCTACTTTCAATTTTTAATTAGTTCTTATCTAAAAGCATGTACATTCAATTCATGCAATATCATATGACTTAGTTTGATAATTCATTTTCTCTTTTCTCACTTCAAAAACTTGTACTTTTGTAACCAAAAATTTGAAATTTTATTTGTATCGAATTTCTAAATTAAATAATTATGTTCAAAGATTACTTTACAAAAACACTATTGACGTTAAATGAGTCTGAAGTAAGTAAATGAATAGCCCTAGTTATTTCTTGGCTGCATAAAATTTTTTTCCTGTCAATTTGATGTTTGCCTGCATGTGACTTAAATGTAACAAATGTTTACATTTTTTGGTTACATGGGACTTATTTTTTGTTATTAATTTAAAATAGAGCATATTAATGTTATGTAGTAAGTATATTTAAATAATTTAGCATGTTTTAGCTATTTTAAGGTTTAAAGATCTTTTGTTTGTCCTTTTTTTTATTATAAAAACCAACTGCTAAATTCTATCTGTTTGTCTCACTCAGCTATAAGAGAAGTCTAGGATAGGTTTAATTTTCACAGAATTAAGGTCGGGAAGTATAACCGAAAGTGTCAGACATGAAGAAGTAATATCATCATCTGTAGTAATACGAGAAGAAATGGAAGAAGACATGACAAGTCGCTGTATTACTAACCAATCTCTCTTCATTCATACCATCGAAGGACTTAATGTTGAACGTGAGCTTATTTCTTTATTTTCAAATGATACACCAAGTATATTTTACATATGTATATTTGTCAGATAAGCTGAAAATAAAATGTTTACGCCATCAAAATTTTATCGAATTGCAAGTGAACCTTGGTGGTTGGTGGTACAAAAATTTTAAAAACTTCAAGTTTTCTGTTCTCTCTAGGTGCATGGCATTAGACATTTTATGTTGCAATAACTCTAAGCTGCCAATTTCAGTGTATTAATACATAGTAGATTAAGCTTTTTAATAGAATTTATCAAACTTTTTTCTTATAACTTTCAATTTTACTTTGCTTCTTTTGATTAAATTTCATACCTAAATGAACCTTTTTTTTACAATTTATTATTATTCCTAGACCTATACAGATCACTTATTTTCTTAAATTACAGCTGGTGGCAGTGCTGCATTCGAATGTGAAATTGATGCAAAATCAATTGTCTGGTTGAAAGACAATAGACCTTTGTCAGACCGCTTGGCAGACAGAGTTACGCAGATGTCTGTTGGAAATGTTCACCGTTTGGAAATTTTAAATGTGATTGAATCAGATGCTGGTGTCTACACAGCACACGCCACAACCAAATCAGGACAAGTTTCAACATGCACAGCTAATTTGGTCGTTCACAAATGTAAGTTTAAAAGCAACCTAACTGTTTAGTCCATTTTTATCAATAATCAATATAAATAATCTACCAGTCTACACACGCAAACACTCTGATCGCATTTGTGGATGATTCATTGGAGCTAGGACAGACTTGAGTTGGAACTGAACACTGATGGTAGGTGGAGGAAGTCTATAATAAACAGAACAAAGTTTAACATTCAAGTTAAAAATAACGCATTGATCAAGGTGAGCTAGATCAAACTCAGGAGCATTTAACCGATGGAGGTTGGATCAGGCCTAAATTTCTTGGTGTTATCTAGGATTGAAAATTTTGTTGGAACTTACATGAGTTATATAAATGAGAAGCTAAAGTACACTGGGGGCTGGCAAAGAGGGTTTAGAAGCATATCTGCCATTACTTGTATTATATAATATATATTATCATATTATTTGTATGCTGAACCTGAGTAGGTTTCTGCCTTAGATGAACAACCATAAAAAAATTAAAAGAGTTCAGAGGCTAAAAAATTGTTTTATTTGTGGGTATCTATCTGCAGATACAACACCTGATTAATTTGATGTTAATGGGAAGAATGAGGGGTTTTTTTTGTGATGAAGGAAGAGAGGTCTCCATCCAGGTAGTTTGTCTGCAATTAACATTGACATGAATTTATGGCATGACCCGGATATCTATATAGATATGAGAGAACGTGAGAAAACATGGGCTTTGTTTTGAAGGAAAAGTGGTCAATTTGCAATTATCAGAGTAATTGGAGGGGATCCTTTCCCGATAACCTCAGAAATATTGAGTACTCTAGGGCAGTAATAATGAGCCTGATGTGTGAATGTAATTTATTAGCATGAATTCAGGGGAGTCTTTCCTAATTGCCCCGAGCAAAATCGAGTAGTCTGGGACAGTCTGAATTTGGTGTATGAATGTAATTTATTAGAGTAAATGGAAAGACCTAATAACCCCAGGATCACTGAATTCTGTGGGATGGTGTAATTGAAGTCTTGTATGTGATATAATTTATTAGTGTGAATGGAAGGGCTTTTTCCCCAATAACCCCAGGAACATTCCCCAGATAGAGATTCCTCTAACCAGACTGAGCAATGGAATAAACAGCAGAAATTGTGTGCATAGGGGCCGAAATGTTAAAATAGTGATAGATACATAATAATCGACTCACTAACTTCAGTATCTACCTTTCCCTAGCAGAGAACATAAAGAACAAGTTTGACTCAACCCTCATTGCTGTTTTCCTTTCCTAGATAAGGGATAGATAAATTCAGGTTAAAGGGACATAACTCTAATATCCACAACACTTCACTTACTTCTTAACCCCAGCATCCATCTCTGACATATTTTTGCTGTTTACCTTTTTCCTGGATAAGAGTTGAAGTCGATAACTATGTAAAAGAACTCAACAGCAACCTCTTGAAATATAAGCCTATTAACAAGTTACCATCGACTTTCTATGAAGAATACACCAGGAGTCTGGAAAATTGGGAAGAGCTTGGGATTAACTCTTTGAAGGGCTTGTACACCATAATTATTCATAAATCGTGTGATGTGGTCTGGTGTGATAGGTTTCAGAAAAACATTTTCTTTATTGTGCCAACGTTTAGATCTTTATTGAGCCCTGAAGATGATCTCAATAAGGATCAGAACGTTGGCACGATAAAGAAAATGTTTTTCTGAAACCTATCACACCAGACCGCATCTCAAGATTTATGAATAATTATCGATTAATGGTCACTAATCACCACACATTCGTACACCATAATTTTATGTCCAGTCAGCTAGCGCATGACAGCGTGGTGTTTGTACTGAGGGTGACTGAGGGTGTCTGTTGACTGCGTGCTTGTTCGAAGCTTTTACAATGAGAAAATTTATCAAAATTCAGGTGCATTATGAAGGACATATTTCCATTTCTAGACAGACATTCTTAGTAAACAAAACAGAAACCACACACTTCATAACTGCCGAAAACTGGTGGTTTTCTTTATTTTACTGCTCAGTCCCATGTAGTAAACTGAATTTTCATTAATTTCTCAATAAAATTTCTGCTTACTTTGCCAGTTAATTAGATTGAAGGTGATTTTTTGTAACTTAAACACATCTCAATTGCAATTTCATCTACATTTTGTTCATTATTACTTTAATTCAAAATTACTTTATTTTTTATTTAGTGACTAATGAAGAAAGAAAGGCCAAGAATGGTCCCCATTTCTTAGTGAGACTTAAAGACACTGAACTACTTCAAAACACCTATTTAAGATTCTTGATCAAAGTGAAAGGTGATCCCATGCCAACTGTTGAATTGTAAGTGAATTAAACTAAAAATAAATATTTCTTTTTTTAAATATATGTTTTATCCTTGTAGTTTCAAAGATGACAAGTTGATCACATACAAAAATGAAAGAATGTGTGTGAAAACTGAACAAGCAGCTACTGGATATTACGAATTGGTAATCCCAGAAGTTCACACATCTGATGCTGGAATGTATAAATGCGTCGCCACCAATAGATTTGGCGAAGCGACCTGTGAAGGATTGTTGTGTGTTGTAGGTAAGCTTAAAACATTTATCACTCCTTTATTTATTTAAATTTTACCGTACATCTTTTCTTGTTTACTGTCTAATACAATTCATATATTCTTATAAAAAACCTATAGAAGACAATAAAAATCGAAACAGATTTGAGTCACAAGCAGCATCAACAAATCAACAATGTGAGGATGGATGTTTTTTTGTTGGTTTTATTTTTAATATATTTTTTCTCTTCTTTATTAATTGAATGTCAAAAGAAGAAAATTAAAGAAAAAAATGCTTGTTTATGAATTTTCCTACACTTTCTATTTTGATGAAAATAATTGTACTAATATCAGGGTAGTAGTAGTTATAAATATATAAAAGTATATGTTAACATTTTTTTTATATTTATGTTTTTTTTTTTCAATCTGTTTGGCTACACTGAGACAAAAGACCAAACAGAATTGGTATAACAAGCATCGAATTGTTTAACCAAATAAACTTTTGTGAAGTACAGCCATGAAAAGCTGGCCAAAATGATTCATTATGATCTAATTGAATGTTGTATTTCCCTAAATTTTGACATTACTGTATAACATATTTGATTTAAAATTTCAGATTATCTAAGCCACTAAATGATTTGCTTAATAAATAATTACAATGTATTGTTTGTAGATGATAAGAACATCTTTGAAAGTCTCGATGACAAGAACATTCAGCCAGAATTTTCATGGATTAAAGATGGAAAACCTTTCGATGCCGAGGAAAGATTCAAAGTATTATTTCAGGTAATTACAAACATAAGAATAATAGATTTTTTCTTATAAATCAGTCAATTAAGTTATTCTGATTCAATACATGGCTGCCCTGCCATTTCCTTTCCAAATATACAAAAAACAAGGCTGCATCTTCATATGTGTAAAGTGGTACATTCAAGCCAGGGTATAAGACGGCCTTAAACCGGGAATCATTAGTTAGAATTACAGTGAGAACCTGAGTAAGGAAGCAAGATGAAGAGTTCAATAAAATGAGATCAATCACCTGAGTATGAAGATAACTCTTCCCGAGGAGTTCTTAATTCATTAACAGCCAATTCATCCTAGGCTAATGAGGCAAGGGCTGGCCAGTTTTTGTGCTGAACCTCGTGAACTAGGACCAAGGATGACTTGCATGCATCTGTATAACGGGAGCGATGAGAACATGTCCCACAGTTTGTATGGAAAAGATGCTGGGATTGATAATGAGGAAAGCACAGAAAACAATATTTAGTATTACTAAAGAGAAACCTCCAACAGGAATAAAACTAAAATGGAGAGATAGCAACAATACAATGAATGACCATCTGATACACATGGCTCCAGGAGACGACATGAACAGGATGTTTGAATTTAATCAAAACTTCCAAATAAACTTTAGTACCAAAAAATAAAGGGAACAAGAGGAAAACACCTCCTTTAAGAATAGCACCATTTTTGGTACACAGATGGATCTAGAACACAAGAAGGTACAGGGGTAGGAGTATTTGGTCCTGGAACCAAATACTCAGAACCCATGGAAAAAACACCAGGTGGAATGTATATGTCTTGTCAGCTAGAACAAAATATTCATGCGATCCCAGGTCATATAACAGCCTTGTCAGTTTGGACATCCAACCATGGAAATCCAAACCATCCCAGGTTGAATATACAACTTCTTCCCCTAGTACCACAGATCAGCACCATTCCAGGTCGCATAAAAGCCTCATCATCTTGAACGTAAGATTCACACTATCACAGCTACAACCTCATCAACTAGGACCAAAGATCAATGTCATCCATGAATAATTGCCTAGTCAGCTAGGACCAAGAATCCACGCCCTCTGAGGTCTCAACATCCAAGGTTCACAACCCGAGGCCAGATCCATCTGTCAGAGCATGAGTTACCTGTGTCCAGATTTTGAATTCAACTGTCAAGTCTTCCTGAAGAGTTCATCATTTAAACAGCTGATTCATCCATGACTCACAATGCGAGGTCTCACAATCTGAGAACACCTACATTGCCTCGTCAGGAAGAACCAGGGATCCACTTCCTCTGACGTCTCACCCATCAAGGTCCTCAACCCTAAGCCACTCCCAGCTAAGTCTGGGTATAAACCTACACTGAATTGGATTTTAAATCTATCATGACAACTTTCCTCCCCTAAATGAAGATACTAAGCAATAAATCAAATTTTAAGCCAGGAGTGCCCTAAAATGAAGCATTTGTTTAATGAAATCTTAAGACCGTTCTACCTCTTTGAGGGTTTATTCTTTGTTCTATTCCATTCACAAGAGAAGAGAAATCTGTTTCCACTTAAGTGCATATTATTCAGAAAATTTTGATTGTCTTGTGCTATATCTGTATTTGATGCTAATGCTGAACATTATCTCCAAATTGTTAAATATATTTGTATCGGTTGCTTACTTTACATTTCAAAAGCCTTCTCGATACTAAGAAAACCCCCCATGATCTCTCGATTCCTCTCACATTTGTCCTAGTATTAATATTTTGTTTTTGATGTGGCTACAGCTAAGAAACTATAGTAAAGCAACATATCTATGATTGCAAAAAACCCAAGCAAAATCCTACAGCACTCACTATCCACCATTTTGAACTCCAACACAATTTCAACTTCAAAAATCCAAAAATATTACATACAGAACAAAACAAACATAAACTTAATTTCTTAGAAATGGTTTATATCAACAGAGATAAACACAGCATCAATTACAGAACAGATACATGTAAATTCAGTCGCAGCTACGCCAACATCATTAATCAAATTCAATAAAGATAACACACATATATCATTACATTACATTCCACACATCAAATATTTTTCACATAGTCTAATTGTCCAACAATTTAGCTTTCCTTTTTCCTATTTATCCCTTTCTATATAATCCTGAAAGGATAATCTGGCTGAACCATTACCAACACATTGTTTCCCTTCAGCGGCTCTTTTCACCTCAAAGAAGCCGACGCCTTATACAAAAATGTCTTTTCTATACCGACTTCCTTCCCCAAAATCCAACGTATATAAACATAAAACAGCAATATCTCACTGGCACTCTCAACACGACACGCAAGAATGGCACAATTACGCAGAAGACAAACATTTTGAGTGAGTAGAAATACTTTGATTGAATATTTAAAAATATATATATATATATGTATATTTTGCATTGTTACACATATTTGTTAAATGTAAACAATGTTTGTAAATCCCAGGCCCTGAAGATGATCTCAATAATGATCGAAAAGTTGTCACGATAAAGAAAATGTTTTTCTGAAACCTACATCACACCAGACCACATCTCACGATTTCTGAATAACTAAGAAACTATTTTGATTACCAACAGAAATTATTTAAAATTTGTTATCTTTCTTCTTAATAGGATGAAGAAGATTCTTTGGCTCTTGTGTTCACTCATGTAAAGCCAGAAGATGCCGGTTTGTATACTTGTGTTGCGTCGACATCTACAGGGAAAATATCTTGCAGTGCTGAGTTAACAGTACAAGGTAACTTAATTAAATCGAATATAATCCGAAATGTTTGGATGAAAACTGATCAATGATTTTAGGCAATGTTAACTTGTTGACTCGTGAGCCAGAAGCCGCTAAGATTAAATCTTCTACTACAACATACGAGACAAATATTGGCTCGTCTGCAATGCTAGAAACCAAAGTGACAGGATATCCAAAACCAGAAATTAAATGGTAATTTCGATTAATGTCATACCAATATTGTGAAATTATGAAATATTCTCTATAGGTTCAAAGAGGGAGAGGAAATCAAAATTAGCGAAAAGTATAAAGTTCTTTATGAGGATGATGAAACAAGTTCTCTAGTTATTAAGAACATTACTCTTGAAGATATGGGTGAATACACCGTCGTCGCAAGCAATCTGTCTGGAAAATCTGAGGATACTGTTAAACTCAATGTCAAAGGTAAAACAAGTTTATTATTTTTATTTAGGTTTAACACTTTCTAGCCAAATCTAGCCATCCAAGAAAGTCTTGCAGTGATAGCAACTTGCAATTATGATATATTTTCTTGTTGTGATTGTCACTACTTTTACATTGGATGTGTAAGCCGACAATGCTAGCATTTTTGGGAAGTGTCAATGACATATCCAAAAGAGTCATATTAAGGAGTGCCAAACTAACCCAAAGGGTAGTTGGATGTTAAACCCTGAATTATCGAAATTACTTTACTTTGAAGGCTGCAGTGGCCAAGTGGTTAAGTTGTCCTACTTTTATTTGATACACTCGTGATGATTCTGGGTTTAAATCCCAGCATATCCCATGGAATTTTAATTGATACTATTTTGAAAAAGTATTGCAAAATGGACTTAAAACGAGACTTAAAAATCCAAAAATGTATATGCGAAAGTTAAATTAATTTGTGAAAGGATCCAATATAGATGTTTGCAGAACTCCCATTATTATTTACAAAACCAGAAAAAATTTGGTGTTATTTAACTGATTGTATCCTGTTAGACAAATAAGATAAGAAAAGTTGTAAAACTGTACAACATTGATCATTTCCTTTCAATCAAAAAAGCTATATACCAAGTGTTATCTTTGAAACAGTCCAAGGTGTACATGACAAAAGTTAGTATGGCTTGGTGCTTTGCTTATTTGTTCTTTTCAAAATAGCATATTGATGTTTTCTTATTAACTTTTGAAAATACAGGCAGTGATATCGGTCTATAGATTTTTTTTCCGTTTTTGTCATCGCACTGTTTGCTTGAAAATTTTAACTTCAGGACAAAATAGCCGTAGGCTGTCCTATTTTTTAATGAATGTATACCTTTCACTACTTTTTAAATTATGCCATTTCATGCATATTCATTTACCATATTTGAGCTGTATTGTATACTATAAAAGAATTCCAAGTTTTTTCCATCAGAGAACTTGATTGATTTTGCTTGTTTTTTATGCTTTTGAAAAGTTGGGCAATTTTCGATCATTTTTGCCTATCTGTTCATGCTGATTTGATCTGTCATCATTTGGCATCGATAGATGCCTAACAAATTTTATAAATTACCAAGTATTTTATGGTATTGTTACATTAAAATTCTATCATTTCCAATGTTTTCTAAAATATTGAATTGAATGTAGAGCAACATTCTATCTGATTGTAATATGTCTAACTTTGCTCAAACACTTTAAAAAAATTTTTGTCTGATGTTAAAACATTCCAGCTGCGCCTTTTTTTACGAAAAAGTTGACCGATGTTCATGCCATGTCCAGTCAAGAGATTAGATTAAATGTCAACATTGGTGGTAATCCTAAGCCTACAGTTGCATGGTAAGTTTGTCTTATATTTAAGAATTTCATTTATCATGATTTTAATAACAAAAAAAATTTTTTTTATAAGGTACAAAGATGGAAAAGAAGTGTCGGAATCTGACCATGTGAAACTGATTGAGGAAGGTTCATCATACACACTTCTCATTGAAAAATGCAATCTATATGATGTCGGCTCATACTCCGTCATTTGCAAGAATGAAGTAAGCCAGTGCTCAGAGTTCTGTAAAGTTGATGTAGAAGGAGCTCCTATATTCACAAGGACTTTGATTAAAAATGCGGAAACTGAAGAAGGAGATAGTTTAACATTCCTGGTCAAAGTTCATGGAAAACCGATGCCGTCCGTTGAATGGTATGATATTTTAAAAAAAAAATTATTTTGAGGAATTTTGAAATTGAACAATTTAATTATTATGATGATGATGAAAGATAATAATAGTTTAGTTTATGCTGGAGTTGGAAGCATATATTAATCATTATTTATTACCCATTTTTAGGTGTTTTTATTTATTTGTTTTTTTAGTGGGGGGAAGTCAGCGGGGTGATGGATCTGTAATTAGGTCATTTTATTCGTTGTAATCAGGCTAGGTTGGTCTGTCAGATGCGTTTCTGCATCTCGCCATCTTCAGTGTGGGTCTGTGTGATATATGTGAAGTCAAGTATCTTTTATAAGATCTTGAAAGATGGAATGATTAAACTTTGAGTCTTACAGCTGCTGAATCTGTAGTTTTGTCATTAGCAATAATTTTGGTCTCCCTGCTGGGTTCATCTGTCAGACACTTTTTGGCTTTTTGCCATCTTTAGTTTTGGGTCTGTGTTTTTTTGTAAGATCAAGAGTCTTTTATAAGGCTGTGAAAGGTGGAATGATTGATCTTGAGGATGGATCTGTAATTAGATTCTTACCGAACATTTTGTTTTGCCTATTCTCATTGGGTTGGGCTGTCAGATGCATTTCGGCATTTTACTAACATTAGTTTTGTGTCTGTGTGATTTATGTTAAATTAAGTGTCTTTTATGAGGTCTTGAAAGGTGGAATTGAACTTTGTGTCTGATGGGTGCTGAATCTGTGGTTTAGTCATCAGCAATCATTTCGGTCTCCTTGTACCTGCTGGGTTGGTCTGTCAGACGCGTTTCAGAATCTCATCATCTTCAATCTTGGTCCGTGTGATTTATGTGAAGTTAAGAATCATATAAGGTCATGAGAGGTGTAATGATTGATGTTGGGGGTCTAGCAATGGTCAAGAAGATGATGGGAAGCCTAAACATGCCTGACAGACTAACTTATGTATTTGGTAACTCAAATTTTTATTGTGACATTACTGAGCTTACCGATTTACATAGTAGTTATAACAGTCATAACGGATCAGTTTTATAAAAACTTGATAACTATTTCTTTGTAGGTTTTACAAAAATAAACCAGTTGTTTTGGATTCAAGATGTAAAACAAGCAGTGACAATGATACATACACATTAACAATCAATGCGATTAATAAAAACGATGCTGGAGAGTACAGCTGTCGGTTGACAAATGTTCACGGTACAGCCACCGATCATGGACAACTTTTTGTAAAAACAGCTCCCGTTTTTATCAAAGGAATGGGACATTTGATGGCACAAGAAGGAGACACGAATGTTGGTTTTACTGTGGAAGTCGCTTCATACCCAAAAGGACATATCAAATGGTATTATCTAAATTAACTATGGGAAATTATATCGATTAATCACTCTCATGATTTTTTATTTTTTTTTAGGTTTCACGATGATGTAGAAATCAAATCAAACAGTTCAGATTATAGTTTCAAAGAAGACAACGATAGTTACACTCTTGTACTTAAAAATGTTAAGAGAGAATCATACGGATCGTATAAATGTAAAATTGAAAATCAATATGGATGTAATGATTCAACAGCTGAGCTTACTGTGCTGTGTAAGTAATAAATTCATTATTCGCATTTCAAATTCATCCAAATGATTTTTTTTTTCCAGGCAAACCACAGTTTAAAAAGCCATTAAGCGACATGACAGTAAATGAGGGTGATACTCTTACACTCAAAGTGGAAATAGACGCAACCCCAGAGCCAACAGTTAAATGGTAATGTACACTTTATTTTTTTTAACAAGTAATTTAAATAATAAATTAATTATTAATTAATAAAAAATGTAAATGAATTATTTTATTGAATAGACTATATATACTCAACCCGCATGACTTGTGGGTTTGCACTAGCAACATCATTCTATTATTCAATTAACTAAATTGATTTTTGTTTTTTTCAAATTAACCCATTAATGTTAATCCTTCTGTAAATAGGATTTTATCAATATCAATTGAAAACATTTTGAGTTTTTTTTTATTTTTAATGTGCTTGTCTAAAATTTAAGGATGATTTTAGCAGTAGTTCTGTAACTACTGACAGCTCTTACAGAAAAGTTGCCCCTACTAATGAGCTGCAAACACGTGTATGTACTTAATTTCTCAAATGTCAATTATCACCAATGTAAATATAACTTTCAATTCTTAAATTCACTAATTTCGTGGTCCGCTTGACCAATTAATACATTACAATTAATTAAGGTTTTTAGTTGAGATGAAAAAAAGCTAATGGCACGAGCGGGATTCGAACCCACGATCTTCGGCTAGATACGCCGCTGCTCTACCACTTGAGCTATCGTGACCTCGATCCACTCGGACATCAACTTCCTATCTCAACCCCACCTTATGAGTTTTCCCTCCTTTTTGCCATTTTTCAAATGTCGTGTAATCGGATTGGATTCTCTGGCAAAAAAACTTTTACGTTCCATTTGACATTTAGGATAGCCTCCTGAACTATTGACATTGTTCACGGGGCGACCTGCATAGTAAAATTCCAGGATATGTGTTTTGATCCAGTTCTCTCCTCTATATCTTACTACCTAATTAACCATTTACAATTAATAATCGCTTGTCCTGGAAGCCCCATATCTCCCAGATATCCTGATGATGGATCTCCACCCTCCATCAATTCTGTCCTGCCAGTTCCTAGTTTCCTTTCTTCTCTTTGATATTCTCTTTTCCTTACATTTTAACACTTAAGATTTTTAATTGCTGCTTTAGTCCAATTTTCATTTTTAATTTATGTAATGTATTTTTGTAAATGGACATCTTTGTATAGCCTTATCAGGCTTAAACCTATAGAAATACATTGTTTCATAAATCCCACTAAATAAACACAAGAAATGAAAAGGTTTTAACACTGCTTAAATTTTTTAGGTACAAAGACGGTCAAGAATTGACGGAAGACGCCCATATAAAAATATCAAGAGACAGCCATAGAGTTGAAACATACGAGCTTACAGTTAATTTAGTCAAGGCTGAAGATAGTGGAGAATATGAGGTCCGCGCTATCAATGAAATGGGTTCTGCTGTCACAAAAAATACTGTGATTGTTCAAAGTAAGTGTTTTCCTCAGGTGAAAAGCGACAAGCCAGAATCGCATTTATAGCTTTTTCCCCATCAAATTGATCCTTTTTCATTTCAAACTAACCTTTTTAAATTTCAAATAAACCTTTTTTAACTACAAGTTACCCCTTTTTAATTTCAAATTAATTTTTTCTTTAAAGAATTTCGAAAACTTAGATGATAGAATGAAATGTAAGCATTTTAAGTAAAATTCTTGTTTATTTGATTTTTTTTTAATATAACATAATTGGGCTCTTAGAAGACCCACCAATAGAAAAAAGTAATTACATTTAAGAAAAAAAAATATATAAAATTGGTTCTTATCTAAAATGCCATCTGAAAATTATTTGCAATTAAAATTACAATGATATAAGATTAAATAAAAACTAAAGGATTCTTCTTTTAATTCAGGTTCAATTCAATTAAAAATATAAAATTTGTTCTTATCTAAAATACCACATGAAAATAAATTGCATATTAAATTTTAAAAATATATAAAATAAAATCATTCTTTTTAATAACGCAGTGACAATATCACTAAAAAAAAGATTCTTCTTTTGATTTGAAATTTAAAATTATATAAAATTAAATGTAAAAATACAGTAAAAGGAGATAGAAAAACCGCTGGGCTCATAAAAATAGAACTAATGGGGCGGGTTAAGAAAGACGTAGGTCCCTGATCATTGGATAATGGCTAGAAAAGGGAAAAGGCTCTGCTAAAAAAAAAATGTTGGACCTACACATAGGTACATATAATAATAATCCACAGGCACCTTCTGGCCGGAAGGTGACTAAGTAGGTGATCGTTAAGCAAAGATTAATGGTTGAGCACCAGATTTTCAATTGTAGAAGACTTTACATATATAGGCAATATTTTGACATATCATCGGATCTGTGCGTAGTCTTGGGGAATGGCAGTGGGCCAAATCGCTGTTCTGGTACCTCATGGCTCTAAGGATGTTTGTGAGTGTTTGTGGTGTATCTGTGTTGTATTTATGTTGATTTATTGGAATGAATGTAATTTATCAGCATGAAAGTAAGGGGTTGTTTAAATTGTCTTTGCCCTGAGGAATATCGAGTACTCTGGGGTGAATATTTCGTTTGGGGAGTAAAATTATTAGTGAGAATGGAGTGGGTTTAAACACGTGCCGAGGAATATGGAGTACTCTGTGGGAGTGAAGTGACCAGACTTCTATGTTTATATTGGCTGGTGATGTATAATATGTGTTTTGTGTATATTCTGTAGTTGACAGCCTGAGCCTGAGGTACAAATGAGAGGCTAGCATTTTATATTTCATACCATCTCTAAGTTTTTTAAACTTCAAAGAAAAGATTAATTTGAAATTAAAAAGGTTCATATGAAGTTAAAAAAGGTTATTTTGAAATTAAAAGAGGTTAATTTAAAAACTAAAAAGGTTAATTTGATGAGCAAAAGCTATATATGGACATTTTGCATTCGATATACACTTTTATTTATTTTTTAACATATTTTTCTTTGTTTGAGGGAACAATAAAACAAACAAATACATAAAAAAATACTTGTGTTATGTAAATACATGCACCAACTACTGTTAAATCACACAGTACATAATTACAAACAAATGCTATATTGTATTTGTTAAAATGGTAAAGTTTTGAGCATGTGTTTGTTTATTATCGTATGCAAATCCTGTTTATAAGAGACAGGCATGAGTGTTTGCTGTGTGCCTTTAGAAATTTCAACAGGGGACATGTCGTCAAAGGCTGGATTTAAGGAAACCGTCAAAGAGCCGGATGAAATCCAAGAGATTACAATGCAAGTAAATGGAGTACAGTTGCCATCTGATAACCTGAAAAATATCTATGAAAAGCGGGAGGCCTTCGTCGATTATCAAGGTATTTATTTCCCATTATAGGGAAGAGCATAAAATGTATATATTATTCATTGATAACCGCCAGGCATAAATTTATTCAAGTAGAATTTTGTAGCCGATTCATTATAGTAATAATAATCATGGTAAAAGGGTAATATAGCCCTACTTATATATTAGACTAACAACTTACAAATTATTTTGCCATGAAGATCTTTTATTAGAAAGAAGACATCATTTATTAATTAGTCCATCATGAAAAAAAATTTTAATTATTTTATTTTATTTATTTAAAATACAAAGACACAAGATAATTCCTTTGGTATATCAGTACAGTTGGATTTTTGCTTAATCTTTATAGTCATTGAATTTTTTTTTTAACAGCAAATTTAATTTGGATATATATTTTAATTTCCCACTTGATTATTTAATCTTTGGTTTTTAAAGCCAAAGCATTTTCTTTTATACATTTTTGTTCCATGTTAATTTATCAGTATAACTGGCAATTTGAGACATTTAAGTTTATCTTTATGCTACTCAATATTCTATATAAACATTTTCTTTTATATTCAATCAATGTTCTTTTAAAAATTAAAATATTTGTATTTAATCTTTTCCATCCACTTTATTACAAACAGAAACCCTATGGCATTAATATAAAACCGACACCAATATCTAATTTTTATTACACATGAAACATTTTTTTAGAATTTATTATGAACGAGGAAGACGGTAGCTTTCGTACAGTAACAAAGCACGGATTTCGATGTGTCGAAGTGTCGAGCGAATGTCACCTACAAGAATCGAGTGCCTGTTTGGTCGAAGAATTTTCTGACAGTGAAGATAAATCTCTAAAGGTTGGAAGGAACCGTGGAATATCTATTGTGTCTGTTGATGATGACGAGGAAAATTCCAGTCACAGCCGTTGTGCTTCTATTCCGAAAGATGTAGACAGCACAAATGAAAATCCTGTCATCTTAGAATGTCAAGATCTCAATACAGAAACAACTGAAAGCCAGGAAAAGCTTGAAAATGTTTTACCCAAAAACACCGATAATAATGACACATCAAACATTATAGAAAAAAGTAATAGTAAACTTAATGTACCTACTACACAAAACAATATCGAAGATCATGTTAATAGCTGTAGTGTCGAAGGACCTTCAAAATCATTAACAGAAAGCACAAATCTCGAGTCTCTTTCTGACAACAAATCACAAAATGAAATCAATGATTTGAAATCAGGTGATTCTGAACTGAAGAACGGTTTCAGCGAGTCTCACGTCAAAGAAGAACCCATATCAGACACTGAATCTGAATTAGAACAGTCTTTTGATATAGCAGAAAGAGTACCACATGATGGTAAAATTAAACAAAATTCCGAATCAGACACAGATGTTGAATATGAATTTATAAAAGATGAAGCACAATCAACAGATATTGGCCAACTTTCAGGGTCAAAGGGTGAAGAGTTAGAACCAATTCCGACCAACGGTATCAATGCACTCGAAGATGAATGCAGTTCAAATACAGGCAAGCTAATTGAAACAATGGAACAACCTGAAAATCACAACCCGAGTCTTGCTGACACAAATAAATCACCTAGCGATCAAACAAATATCGACAGTTCCTTAAAAGAAGATTCAAAATCAGATAATAAAAATAAGACATCCAAAACAAATGAAAAAGATAATGTACAAAAACCTGATGGTAAGCATTTAACTAAAACACTTCTTCATATAAAATTTATATACCTACCGATTGTTATCATAACATCATAACATTACATTTTCAATGAAATGAAACGCTTTTTTTTAATGTTATAAACAAATTGCTATGCCTAAATGAACAGTTGCTTCATATGAATGAATTTACATACATTAACACTTGACTGCGGGGTTTTTTACATCTTTTCCTTGAGGCTGATATCACACTAACGCACAAAGCAGTCATAAAATTCTATTCTAATTTCGATATAGATGTGCAAATGAGATTTTGTTAAAAATTGAGGCAATATGAAAGAAACAATTCTTATTTTTATAATTATTGCAATTTCATTTTCTGTAAGGACTATAACTTTCAGGGCCTACAATATTTTTAAAAAATTTATGATTCTGAAATAAATATGTTAAAAGCAACTAGCTTTAATAATACACTGTGAACAAATTTAACAAACCACTCAATTTATTTAGTTTAAAATTACATCCATTAGGTTTATATGTTACAAAGAATTATGCCCTTCCATTCTGCTATGCCTAAAGATCTCTTTCAGTTAATCTTTTTTCCTTGATTTCATTGACATTATTCTTACTCTTAAACCTTTTGCAATGGTGCCAGTCAGGCATTTGAGGAAATATGACAGTGTCAGGGTTGTAACATTATTAGAGGAAGTATACAGACAGCGCGAAGTCACCAGGAGGCTGAGTGTAAATCATTCTACTGTAGGAAGGGTTCTTCGGCGCTTCAGAGAAACAGGGCTTCACACCAGAAAGCCAGGACAGGGTCGGTCGTGGTCTACAGATGATAGATTCCAGCATCATCAGGCCCTATGAAACTGCAGCATTACAGGAAATGAGATAAGAAATCTTGTAAGACGAGTCAAAAATAATCTCCAGGACTGTAAGAAGAAGGCTCAATGAAAATAAAAGAATGAGAGAGAGAGAGAGAGAGAGAGAGNATAATTTTTTATACATTTCTTCTTTTTGTTGTACGTTTATAAATTTGTGGAACATTTATGTATCAATAAAACAAAAAATGAAAGAAAGAGAGAGAGAAGGAAAAAGAGAGAGAGAGAGAGAGGAGAGAGAGAGAGAGAGAGAAGGAAAAAGAGAGAGAGAGAGAGAGAGAGCGAGAAAGGGAAAAAGAGAGAGAGGAGAGAGGAAAGGGAAAAGAGAGAGAGAGAGGGAGAAAGAGAGAGAGAGAGAGAGAGAGAGTGAGACAGAGTGAGACAGAGCGAGTGTGCAAGAGGGCGAGGGGGCGAGAGGGAGGATGCCAGAGTGAGAAATGATTAAGTGAGTGGGGAGTGGCAAGGTGTGAAGAAAAAAGAAGGAATGCCAGAGTGAGTGACGGAGCTGGAAAGAGAGAAAGAAAGAAACACAAAGGGAGAGGGGGCGAGAGGGAGGATGCCAGAGTGAGAAATGATTGAGTGAATGGAGGTGGCAAGGTGTGAAGAGAATAGAAGGAATTCCAGAGTGAGTGATGGAGCTGGAAAGAGAGAATGTAAGAGTGAGGGGGGAAGAGAGAGAAAGATCTGACAGAGCTGAAAAGAGTGAGTGAGTTAGAGAACAAGATAGAGTGGGTGAGAGAGAGAGTGTGTGTGAGTTGGAGAGCAGGAAGAGAGAAAGACAGTGTGTGGGTTTTAGAGAGATAGATAGACAAATGGATAGAGAAAGAAAGGGAAAATGTCAGAGTTGGTATTTACCAAATTGAGAGTTAAGGCATTTAGGACCAAAAAAAAAAAAAATGTTGCCCTTGCAAAGTTATGAGTTAATAATATTTTTACTATTTCTATTACCTAAATAAAAGTATGATTTATAAGCATGAGTGTGGAGGATCTCTAAGAAATTGCATCCCCTTAAAGTTTTCCTTTTGACAAGTCTAGCAACAACAATTAAACTTATTTAAACTTATATAAACTCTGAATTTCAACATTATAAAAACCTAATAAGACATCAAATGGGAACGTATTCCTAATTGAAAACACGAGAAATACCTAGTAGATCATTTCAGCCTCCGATGCTTGTTACATTTAACCTAAACATTTACATTATGCACATCCTTAAATATATTTTTTATATGTACTATTTACTAAAGTAGGACTAAGTTGTACTTGATATTCCTCAATCACACCTGTACAAAATCTAGGGGTACATTTAACACAAAAGACATATAAAAAAGATCTTTAAAAAGCACCTCTATTTTCATGTGAAAATTGGAATAGGGGATTTAAAACATACTGACGTCCTTAAGCACAAATGTATTGGAATTCCTACTCACTTTCTGTTATGTTTAATTTAATATATTTAGTATATTTAATCAATAATTATACTGTAAGTAGTATGGATCAGAGAGAGTATATTTTCACATGTGATTAGGTAAGTTGAGAATTATTTTCATGCGATAGAAGCACTTTTTTTGTGTGCTTTATAGTACCTACTGTACCATGTGTTTGTGTGAAGATATGGGTGTAAGGTCACCCAATAGACGCTATTATTTGTTGAATTTTCTGTGCCTAAAATTTTACTGCATGATTGAAAACAATGAAAGTCCTAAATTTCTTAGAAAATTAGTGACTAGATGATGAAATACATCTTGTAAATAGATTTATAATATTTCTTTGGAAATCATCAAGTCCTAGATGATAAATTAATACTGCGCTCATAAGTTTTATTGCAATAATTTATAATTTCAGTTATACAAATATTATTAATTTTTTTTTTTTTTGATATGATGTCATTGATACAAAACTACTTAGCCGATCTTTTGGCCAAATTAGGAATTATATTAATACACTAGTAGTGCTTATATTTTATTTAGAATAATAGAATTTTACACTTAAAGTTCATGGTTTCATAACTTAATTAATGAACGATGAAGAAGTAAGTTAAAAGATGAGTGTAGATGGGTGAAATTAGAGTTGTAGTATATTTTCATTCTTAGATTACTTTATTTCATGTTTAATAAATAATCAAATGCTAAAATAGAAAAATTATTTAACTGTACTAAAGTTTCCTAATGTGCATGGACAGGAATCATCAAATATAAAACTCAAGCTGATATTTTTCAAACTTCTCTAAAGTTTATTGTCTTTGCTTGCTTTCACTTTAATCGCATGTTGTATTTTTTTGTAATTTATTGTAGTAAATAAACATTTAAGGCTAATTAATTTTTTTTCTTTAGTACTAGTAAAGGTAGTAAGTAAATGGTTAACATTTTATTTGTGGAATTTTTGGTAGTTGAATATATACTGCACCATGAAATTTTATGTATTAACGGAACGTTTTTGACCCATGACATGAGTCCTCTTCAGTGTTAATTACATCAGTATATGTTCAAAAACCTCCAATTCAATTAATAAAATTATAAAATAAACAGCAACTTTTTTACTATTATTTAAAAAATATATAAATGGTTAACATATCAAAAAATTACATATTTTTTAAACATACAAATTAAAAATTGATTATTTTGTGTATACACAAAACATGCCACTTTAAAATGTTGGTCTTTTTTTCAATTCTGTTTACATTTCAGATCAATTTTGTCGTTTCTCTTAATGACTTGCTTAAAAAATAAATTTCACCTTTTTTAACTTTGTTGATTAAGTCTAAAAATAAGAAGGATTGTGTATAATTTTTTTAAATATTTTTACAGCTTCACCGAAGGTAGTCAAGTCAGAGATGAAAGATATGGAAGTCTTTGAATGCTGGGAACACAAATTTAATGTTGAAGTTGATGGTAGACCACATCCAACTGCAAAATGGTAACTGCATGGATTTTTTTAAATATTTTATCATTTATTACTAAAGCTTTACTTTTTTATTATAAATGTAGTTATTTATTTTATGGCTTTAAGTAATGGGAATAATTTTTTTATAAGGTGGAATGATTGATATTGGGGGTCACCAGGGTGAGGAATGTGAATTTGTTCATTACCAGTCATTTTGATCAGCCTATTTTCAAGATAAATAAGTCCAATAAGTCCCAAGGTTGCTTTTTTACAAACTGCCAAAAGTATTTGGCACTATGGGCTTTTGTCTCAAGGTCAAACTATCAAAAAGAGACCTACAGTGCCATCCAAAACTTGAATGATTTCAATCCAATCAATTGTAATTTGAGCTCGAAATTTTACAAAAACCTTTCTATTAACAGACATGATGCCAACAGGTAACCATGTTTTTGATGAAGTGTCCATTTGGAGTGTACTCTCCTTTGGAGTGTAATTAAACTCAATGGAGATTTTATATTTTAATAAATTATATTTTATAAAATTAAAAATGATATTTTAAAACACTCGGTTCCTTCTTGTGGAATAAATCATCGTGCTTCATCCTAAACTTCTGAAATTTTGAAAATTTAGATGTTCTGTATGTATAAAAAATAAAAAAATAAAAACTGCCCGCTAAGAAAGCTAAATGTAGGGAATGTTATAGAGGGTCAACTGAGCAGAATCAAATAGTAAAACAATTCCTTTCTTGCAGGAGAGCTAAAGTCCAAATACTAATTGTGTATCGAGGACAAGGGGGCGGAGCCTCTTTAATTCCAAGGGGAAAATTAATTTATATTATTTTTTAGGTACAAAGATGGAAAGGAGCTTGGAAAGTCAGATCGGTATAAAATTCTTGATGATAACGGAGTGTATTCTCTGGAGATAATTAATTGTCAGCTCGATGATTCGGCTGAGTATAAAGTCGTTGTGTCAAATGTCCTCGGAGAGGCTTCAGACATGGCCAAGCTTAAGATAATACGTAAGAAGCATCACACACAAAAACACTATGAATGTTATTTTTACAATTCTAATTTTCCAGCTGCAAATGACTTTAGACTGCCGCAAATAACGACTCCTCTGGTCAATACAAATGTTAACAAAGGTGATAAGGTTGAACTGAAAGTTGTTCTAACTGCAGATCCGATTCCTGAAATCAAATGGTAAGACTATAATTGATAGTCTTAAGGTGAAGATTTAAATATCCTATTTTCCAGGCAATTCAATGAAAAAGACGTACCTAGTGATTTCGTCGCCAGCAGTGACACTAAACCAACCCATCACAATCTTAAAGAATGTACGTACACACTCACTAATCCATCATGCAAGCATGAAAATACTGGCCAGGTGTCATTTACTGCTGAAAACAATAGCGGAAGGGCCGAGACATCCGTAAGTGTTAACAGATTAGAGCTTTTTATTCCCTACAGTTTAAGCCTTTTTAACTTGAAATTGACCTCTTTTAATTTCAAAATAACCTCATGTTTAAATCATCTTTCTAAATTTGAATAACCCTTTTTCACTGAAAATTAGCCTTTTTTTTAGTTCAACTTCAACTTTTTAATTTCAAATTAATCTTTTTTAACTTCAAATTAACTTTTTTATTGTAAATTAACCTTTTTTAACTTGAAATTAAGGGTTTCTGAAAATTTTAAACTAACCCTTTTCTTTAAAGCAGTAAAAATTTAAAATGATATGAAAATTGCAACTCAAATTAAAAGTTAAATGAATAAAAAATATTTTAAAAAAAATTCTTCTATTTTTTATTGGTTCAATATTTTTTTAAATATAAACATTATGCTCTTATACAAAATACCATAAACATTAATTGCAATTAAAATTAAAAATGATCAAATATAATATTAAAATCGATATTGCCTTTTTTATAGTTTTTAGAAAATATATGTGTGTATTTTATTATTATTATTTATTTTATTATTATTTATTTATATAGTATTGAGATTCTTTTAGGAAAAACTCAGACACATATGTTTTTAATTTTTCTCAAGTCTTATGAGTCACAAAAGTTTTCAATCAACTTCAATTTTTTCAACCAAGAACCAAATTTATACTATCATTTAATAGTTTAATTCATACCTAGTAAATTACATGCTCATGGTTAAATAGTATGGTTAATAAAAAGTATTTTAAAAAAGGCATAGAAGTTAAATTTACCCTGTATATATGAGTTTTTGTTAAGAACTTGAAGAAAATAAACAATTCTTCTTTTATATAAAAATTAAACTTTATATATAAAATAAATCTTTATTTTAATATTTATTTAGAAATCGTGAGATGCGGTCTGGTGTGACGTAGGTTTTAGAAAAACATTTTCTTTATCGTGCCAACGTTTTAATCTTTATTGAGATCATCTTCAGGGCTCAAAGTGTTTGTCTTCTGTGTAATTGTGCCATTCTTGCGTGTCGTGTCGAGAGTGTCTTTATTTTAATATTCAATTTTGTAAAATTTTTAGTTTTGATTGTAATTATTGTTCATATGGTATTTTAGAAAAGAGACTAATATTTATATTTAAAAAAAACCTTAATATTAATAATAGAATAAGCATTTGTTTTAATATTTACCTTTACATTACTTTTAATTGTAATTAATTTTCATATGGTTTTTAAGTTTTTCTATTGCTTCAAAGAAAGGGTTAATTTGAAATTTAAAAAAGGTTAATTTGCAGTTAAAAATGGTTAATTTGAAATTAAAAAAGGTTAATTTGCAGTTAAAAAGGGTTAATTTGAAATTAAAAAAGGTTAATTTGCAGTTTAAAAGGGTTAATTTGAAATTAAAAAAGTTAGTTTGAAGTCACAAAGGTTTAATTTGATGGAAAAACTATTATTCTAATTAGTTTAATTTCATCAGGCCCACCTTGATGTGATTCTCAAACCTGAAGTCAAATCATTCAAAGATATAGCGGGAATACCGTATGAAGATGCCCAATTTACAGCTTATCTTAACTCAAATCCTAGAGCTGCAGTTGTTTGGTAATAAAACACGAATTCACATGAACAACAAGCTTTAGTTGTTAATTTATGTTAATAATTTAAGGCGTAAAGATGGTAAAAAGTTAGAAAATGATGATCATTATTCTATCGAGACTGATGACACGAATGAAGTTTACAAATTAAACATCAAACATTTATTGCTCGAGGATGGTGGAACGTATACAATATCAGCCGTCAACAAAGTCGGTGAATGCTCTGCTGATGCCAGATTGAAAATACACAGTATGTAATAGAAAAATTATTGATGTTAATTTTCATTAATTCAACTTTCACTTGTGTGTGTTTCATAGTGCAAGAACCAGAATTTACGAAAGGATTGGAAGATATTCAAGTCCGTGAATACGCTCAGCTAGATCTGAAAGTTCGCGCACAAGGTGTACCAAACCCTGAAATTCAATGGTAAAGTCAGACAGGAACAAAAAAAAAAATTCTCCGTGTTGATAAATTTAAATTTTATTTTTAGGTCAAAGGATGGAGAAGATTTAAAAGATAGCGAAGAGTTGTCGTTAGAGACAAAATGTGAAGGAAATGTTTCCAGCCAACTTACAATCCCACATTTCAAAGAAGAAAATGCTGGACGGGTAAGTTTCTATTTTCTGCATAATCTGATCTAACAGTTGGCTGTTTTGATATTTTCTGGCAAAATCTGTATGGGTGAAAACGGTGATATTCAAAGCCTGAGGACATTTCAAGTTAGGTGACTTATCATTCAACAGTACCATATGGGTAGACAACATTGCATCCTTCCCTGAGGAGAAGGAATGCTACTCGGGCACTTTCTTAAACATGAGGCAAGATTCGATCTACTGTGATATCCTTGCTGAAAACTCAATACCTCATTTCTTTATTACCTTATCGTAAAAACAAGTAATCGGAACATTCTTCTATGCCAAAGCGCGTGTTCCCAAGGTAGCATCTTAAGTTACTTTCTCTATTCAGTGGTGACAACTGCAAAAGTTTCTATCAATCCTGGTAAAGTACTCTACATACATGCAGAAGCAGATGTTCTGCAAGAAAACATCCTAAGTCCCTTTCTTTAGTCAGCATACACAGCAGATAATTACATCAATCCCAATACAATATTTGTTCCACAGGCAAAACTGCCATCCTTCTAGCAAACCCAGACCTAGTAGTGGCCTTCAGAAACTCCAAGACTATTTCTTCTGTTGGAAGAAAAATTCAAGAAATGGAAGATTTCCGAAACCAAGTCTCTACAAATAACCTTCACCTCTCCTCTATTATAATAAAAACTATGTTAAACAGTTAAACCAAGCATTCCAACCGCCAAAGAATCCAGTCACACAAGTCCAAAGTCCATCGAACCATTGCCCGTATCACATCTCCCATCAACTATTACTCTATCCATCTCCCAGCCTATGATGTCCACTATTTGGGACTTAATAGCGGTTACTAGCAGTCAAAAGACTGCTTGACAACATATCAAATCATTCACTACAAAACAAACATCTCATTTACACAACAAACTATATAACTAATCTGGTCAGAACTAGACTGAGGGCTTCAACCAAATTCTAACCTTCAAAGAATCAAGTCACTCCAGGCTAAAATCCTTCAAACCAATCCTCATGCTTCTTACTCATAGCTAAACTCACATAGATGCATTAAACACCAAGCCTTCATCCCTACTCCCTAGTTCAGTTTCAGCCTGAACCCTTCCCAATAATCTTAGATGCCTAAAGTGCCAAAGGACTCAAGATTTCCCCTTAATAAAAAAGAATCTACTTTCTTTTATCAAATTTACTAACGGTGAAATACAGTGCGATATCTCAATGTGTGATGGGGAGATAAACCTAATTTGGCCTTTATTAATCATTTTGGTCTTACTATTCTTGCCGGTATGGCCATTTTCAGCAGACCCAAATCTGAAGAAACATGTCTGACCGAAATGATAGGAAAGACTTTTAAAATAACACATTTCAATTTTTTTACAGTACAAAGTACGTGCACATAATGTTGCTGGTCATGCTGACACTTTATGTAACGTCAAATTAGCCCAACTAGCCCCAACATTTTCCAAGTCTCTTGGGAGAGCTCTCGAAGTGGAAGAAGGAGAACCGTTAGAATTGAGGTGCAAAATCGAAGCTAGCCCTTCAGCAAAAATCAAATGGTAATATTTTCTAAATAACATTTCTTTTCTTTCAAGATGATTAAAGGAAAATAATAACCATCTATTTAGGTTCAAGGACGGTGAAGAGCTCAAGCCTTCAGATCATATACAAGTCACTCATAATCCTGATGGATCCGTCAAATTGAGGATTGAAGCAGCAACCCCTGGAGATTGTGGTGCTTATAAAATTATTGTCCAGAACAATTTAGGAGAAGACGCTAGCATATGTGCTGTAGCAGTTAATCGTAAGTACTTGATTTAAAAAAAAATTACTTTTCATATCATAATTTTCTATTTTTAGCAAACCCACGAGCACCAGTTTTTCTTAAAAAACTGGAAAATGTTTCAGTAGGTGAAGATGAACCTATGTTCCTCGAAGCACAAGTTTCTGGATTCCCTCTTCCCGAAATCAAATGGTATTAAACATAAAAATAATTCATTTATTATTCAGTAACTGTTTGTATTTATTTAGGTTCAAAGATGGGTTGCCAATAAGGCCATCTCGGGCGGTTAATTTCATAAACTCTCCTGGAGGAATGATAGGACTTTCAGTGGAAAAATCAGCCAGCGAAAATGCTGGAACTTATTCCGTCCAAATTTCCAACAAGCTGGGAGATGCTTCCTGCCAGGCAGAGGTTGATTTTGTCGAGTATTAAAATTACAATTTAAATTAATTTTTAATTAACTAGTTCTTGTTTTTCCCATAAGGTTGACGTGTTGCTTAGAGAGCACAGGCCTGAATTCCAGGGCCACCTAATTCCGACCACCGTTGTCGAAGGATTCCCGGTGAAATTTTCTATTAAAGTCGGAGGAAATCCACCGCCAGAATTGATTTGGTAACTATTTATTATTATTCCAGTAAAACAATATTTTGAAATTTTATACGGAAAGGGTAAACAAAACAAATATGTATTCACGCATTTCCAATTTAAGATTATTATCAACCAGAGAATTCTGGATTAAATTTAGGTTTTTTTTATATTCACGAAATTTGGGGAAAAATCTCAATGTAGTAATGGATGGGATAGAAAAATGACCTTCAAAACTGTACCCTGAACATATTGCACAAAATTTTGAAATAAAAAGATCAATCTCATGGATGGGATTTAAACCCATGTTCTTTAAAACTGTACCCCAAAGACTCTTTACAAATTTAAGGTAAAAAGACCAATCTTATGGATGGGATTTGAACTCATGGTTTTCAGAACTATACTCTGAAAACTCTCTAGAAATTTTGAGATAAAAAGATAGATCTTATGGATGAGATTTGGACCCATGGTTTTCAGAACTGTACCCTGAAGACTCCCAGAATTTAAAATGTTATGCCTATAAAACTGGAAACTGAAAAAGGCGTGAATTTTAGTCCATAGTAGAAGCATAAATGTATTTTTCTTAAGAACAAAATTCTTCCGTTTTGTTTCATGTGTAGGAGTAAAAACAATACCCCCATAGATATCGATGGAGTACATGTCAAAGTTGAGAAGCTTCCGGATGGCCAATACAGCCTTCTGATTGACAAAGCCTCTCCCTCAGATGCCGGCCTTTATTCCGTAACGGCTAAAAACCCATCGGGCGCAGTGACTTCTGAAGCTAAACTGGAAGTAGCAGGTATAACCAAAATAGATAGGAATTATTTTGTTTAAAATAAATCTATATTGTTTTATATTCAGATCATGCAAGAGGTGATCAACCTGAAGAACCTCCATGTTTCGCTTATAACATGCGAGACGCTTGGACAGAGGAAGGCTCATCAGTCACTCTAACAGCTCCTTTCTTGGGTAATCCCATTCCAGAAGTCCGTTGGTTCAAAGAAGACAAGGAGTTGAAACCAGATCATAGGATATCATTTACTAATGACGGACATAAGGTTTATTTTATCCATTTACATTTTGTTTAGGTAGAATATTTTATTAATGATTTTCATTGTCTGTGCAGGTCGGTTTACACATTGAACCATGCGATATGGAAGATATGTCCAATTACAAATGCCAGATTGAAAATCCACTCGGCAAAGCAGAAACCTCTGCCAAAATAACAGTCAAGAAAGTATATCATGCACCAGTTTTTGTCCAAAAACTTCACGATCTTGATCAGGTAAGTGAACACGTGTCATATTTAAATTCCTAATTATTTTATAAACTCGACTTAGGTTATTGGTTTGGATGGAAAACTTGTATGTCGAGTAACCGGTAATCCGAAACCAGACATTAGTTGGTTCTGCAATGGTAAACCTATTGTCGACGGAAACCGTTATCGTATGAAAAGAGAAGGAGATAGCTGTATTTTATACATCAAGGATTGCAGTCCTAATGACGATGGCTGTTACACATGCATTGCAAGTAACAGAGATGGAAAAGACGAATGCAAAGCACAGTTCAGAGCTGTAGAGAAGATGTAATAATTTTGTGTAACGTGATAAGTTTAATTGAATTTAAATATATGAAATTTTCAGATTGACAAAGGAAAAAGGAGAGGCACCATGTTTTTTGAAGAAAATTGGAGATCAAGAACTTATCCATGGTATGACTGGTAGATTTACCGCTTGTATATCAGGGTAAGTTTTTATTTACGAGGCGAAGGTGATGAATATAATTTTCTTTCTAAAAAATTTACATTATTTAAATATTCCACATTGTTTTCCAATAACCTTTTGCTATCTTTCAAGGATAATCTCAATACCTTAAGAATAAAAGTTCTTATCCTCATTCAAGAAATTTCAAACCACCATTTGTATATTTTCGAAATGTTCAAAGTTTTTCCTTTCAAAAAGTTTTTATTGACCCCTCCCCCAACAAAATAAATAATCACAAGTTATGACAGGAGAATATGGAGGTAAAATATTACCATTTGTTGATTTAATTTCTGTTCTGTCCTCAAACCCACATGTGGTCTGATGTTTGTCCTGATGGAAGGCAGTACCCTTCCTTGTGGATTCTTTAAACTATTGCTCTAAATCTATTCTAACCTAAATAATAATTCTCAATGGGTTTTCAAATTCTACAACTTTTCAATGTTCACATTTTATAAATGATGGTTGTACTCACAGATTTGTTAATTACAATGATCTGGATTTCAAGCATTAAATGCTCTTCATCAGGTTGAAGGAGTTACATGAATTGTAAGCTTGAACCCACTGATCCACTGCCAACACAACATTCCAATGAGGAGGTTTTTTATGTCGCTCAATTTTGAACGTGCGAAAAATGTAACACAACTAAATATTATCCTAAATAAATACGGTTTTCAGTATTAGAAATATTGACCACTTTTTCACTCAAGAACACTTTGGACCAAGGTATGGTTTTGAAGAAGAAAGCAAATTCTGTTGTTGCCAAGCTTTCAACCTATTTTATATTTCTATAAATTTAGTATTGCAATCATTACAATTAAAGCTGATAAACCCCATATCAACTTTGTCTTTATGTTCTGAGAGGATGTTTCTAAGTGAAGATGCACCTCTAAAACCTGCTAGGTTAAGAATTTTACCTATTTTTTTATAGTTCCCCAATGTATGGCAAGCAATGATTATTATTATCCATTATTATCATTGTCCACCTTTTTGCTGAAATATTGATGGATAACTTTAAAAAAATTATTTTCAAATCAAACGATAAATTAATTTTTTTGGAAAGGCTATGTAGATGATATTTTATGTATATGGTCAGGAACACTAGACGATCTAAAAAAATTCCTCCAACTAATTAATTCTTTACACTGTAGTATGAATGTTACAATGGAAATAAATAAAGATGTCTAGGGAACTAGACTGTTTTGAGAAATTTGAAATAAAAAATGTAAAATTAAAATGGAGTTAAATGCATAAATAATATAATAGATTTTGATTTACCTCTTAATAATAAATGACCCAATTGAAACGAACCTTCTTAGAAAACCCACAACCACAGACACTATGATACCAGCAGATTCTTCTCACCAATGGAACCAAAAAGCTGCTGGATTCATTTGGCTCATAGACCATCTGTTGAAACCGTTAACACCTGTTAATTATTAAAAAACATACTAACAATTAATCCCTTAGCTAAAAACAATATTTATTGATAGTTTGCTAGTAAAAAGAATAAAAAATTAGGTTTAAAAGAAGCAACAATCAAACTCAGCCACCCAACCACAAAATGAATTATTAAATTTTCATTGCTTGCCATATCAGAAAAGTAGGTAAAATTTTTTAAAAATGAAGGTTTTGTAGTAGTTTTTAGAAGTGTGTGTTCACTTAGAAACATCTTCTCAAACCCTAAATAAGAGGTTGATAACTTGACAAAAAACAGGGTTTACAAACTTAATTGTAGTGACTGAAATATTAATTAAATTCATTAATTTCTTGGTCCACTTGACCAATTAATATGTTACAATTAATTAAGGTTTTTAGTCGAGATAAAAAAGTCAATGGCACGACTAAAAACCATTGAGATGGGGTTGAGATGGGAAGTTAGTGTCCGAGTGGATCGAGGTCACGATAGCTCAAGTGGTAGAGCAGCGGCGTATCTAGCCGAAGATCGTGGGTTCGAATCCCGCTCGTGCCATTGACTTTTTTATCTCAACTAAAAACCTTAATTAATTGTAATATATTAATTGGTCAAGCGGACCACGAAATTAGTGAATTTAATGATTTAAAATGAAGTATACTTCACTAAAGCTCTCCGTGGCCATTTAATTTGTCGTCGAGAATCCAATCCGATTACACGACATTTGAAAAATGGCAAAAAGGAAGGAAAATTCAAAAGGTGCAGTTGAGATGGGAAGTTAGTGTCCAAGTGGATTGAGGTCACGATAGCTCAAGTGGTAGAGCAGCGGCGTATCTAGCCGAAGATCGTGGGTTCGAATCCCGCTCGTGACTTGACATTTTTATCTCAACTAAAAAGCTTAATTAATTGTGACATATTAATTATATAGGACAAAGCAGTGGAGAAATTAAAACATGAGTTAAAGAACAGTTGTCTAAATCAAACAAATTTTCTGAATATAAGGACCATCTAAATGAAACAAATGACAATTTAAATAGAACAGTTTCAACAAAGGGAGGGAACTAGACTGTTTTGAGAAATTGAAAAAAAAAATGTAAAACTAAAATAGAGTTAAATGCATAATAGATTTTGATTTACCCTTTATTTTATTATTATTATTATTTTTTTATGAGAGTATTTAATCCCAGGGTTATATAAACCCTCGGTGTGCCGGTGTTTTTGAAAAAAAAAAGCCCATTTGTAATTATGTCAGGTTCGAACCAGGGACCTTTACCTTACTGAGATTGCTATGTCAACGCCTAAACCGTTGCAGCCATGGAGCCGTTGCCCCCTACCTCCTATTTTAAACACAAATAATATTTGACATACAAATTAATCACTAATTTAAAATTATTTTCTTACAGTATTTATTGTGAGCACTCTGAATAAATGTATTGTATTTTTCACTCGTTCAAAATTAAGTGGCATTATAAACCAGCCGATGAATTCTCAATTCCTCAATGGACACCTTTTAGCCTACAAGGTGTCTCTTGACCAGACGTCAATACTTCAGTAAATTATTATACATGTCGAATGGGACTAAAAAGCCTTGATTTTCCATAGTCTAATTCTCAATTGTATTCGAGATTTAATTAATCTCACAATTAATCGAACTGTAAATTTGATTAAACCAATGTTAAAAGCACAAAAATCCTACAAGATAAATGTGTTTGTTTTATTATAACAAGAGCAACCTAAGATTAAACTAGCTACTAAGCTAAATCTTAGCAATTAAATGTTACATTTACATTGGTGATAACTGAACTTTTAGAAATTACGTTTTTTGTTTGTTTTTTCAAGTTTATTATGCAGGGCCACTTTCCTGTTAGAACCATTTCTGTCAGGAATTATTGGGCCAAGAAAATCTTACTTCTACTTTGACAAGAACTTGGGAAAATAGTAAAACTTCTAACTGATTGTGTACTTTGTTGCCTTATGGCTAGAATAAAATGAACACATCATTCTTATAGCATTTTTAATGCTCTTACTATTAATGTAATCGTACTTAGAGTAAGATAAATATTTTATGAGAAACAAGGGTTTTTATGGGAAAAAGTCATGAAAACTTGAACTAACACAAAAATTGAAATATTTCCAATACAACTGAAAATCAGACTTTGACATAGACTTTTTATTAGTCCCATTTAACATGTAGACTGAACCATCTCTGTTATTGGGACACGCTTTATAGATATGGGGGGCAACCTGGGAATATATTTCATTGTGACTCTGCAAGTATGTTAAGGACTATAAGGTCATCTTAGGATTTATCTCCCAATTTCTGCCACAAAGTCTTTGGCATTGAGTTTTAGCAGGTCTCTAGGTTCTCTTCAGATGTGTATTCTACATTAACTTTTGATCAAGAATTCCTTGGTAACTTCTTCGGTTCACTTTATTTCTTGATTCCCATGGATGGGTTAAAGCTGAAAGGTTTCCCATGTTGTCTCTTTCTTGATACCCAAATCAGCCTTGAGATAATATTCAAATTGTTCAAATTTTAATTGTGACTAGATTCCCTGAACCGGAAGTCGAGTGGTTCCGTAACAACGAAAAACTTTACCCGAGCGAAAGAATTACAATTGAAAGGGAAAAAACTGGACTTTTGAGACTCTGCATCGCCCATGTCGATCCTGACGTTGATGCTGGAAAATACAAGGTGCGAATATACAATGATCACGGTGAAGATGAATGTGAGGCATCCTTCAGTTTTGATAGTAAGTTCTACTATTTTAATTTTGATTTGTTTAAAATAAAATAGCTTTAAATAAAATTCTGTTTTGGATTATTCATTTTTAGACATGGGTCTTGGTGACAGAAGACCTGTGGGTGAACAATACAAAGATTTTGACAAATTTAAACATTCTGGAGCCCCGATGCCATTGGCAGATCGTCCCATTATCAGCCGAATGTCAGACAGGAGGCTGACTCTCTCGTGGAAGCCTTCAATACCATATGGTCCTCGTGAACCTGTAACTTATCAAGTTGAAATGTGCGAGGTGCCGAATGGTGACTGGTTCACAGCAAGATCCGGTAAGTAAAAACTTATAAAGTAGTATAAAAATAATTAGCTGCGCATTAATTTTTAGGAATTAGGAGTTGTGCCTGTGAGATTAGAAACCTTGAACCATTCAGGGATTACAAATTCCGTGTTCGGGTTGAAAATAAATTTGGCATAAGTGATCCATCACCTTATGAAATCACCTACAGGTAAATCAATGGTCGTACAACTGTGAATTCTGTATTATTATTTTTTTTTTTTCAAATTATCAGGACAAAACTTGAACCTGAACCACCGAAATTCATTCCATACTTGGCGCCTGGGGTTGATTTCCGCCCAGATTCTTCCCCTTACTTCCCGAAAGATTTCGACATTGAAAGACCACCACATGACGGTTATGCACAAGCACCTAAGTATGCTCTTTTATATTATTAATTAAACCTATAAATAATGTGCGTAAAAAAAATTTTTCACAAGGTTTTTGCGTCAAGAGCATTATACACAGTATGGAGTCAAAAATCACAACTCCAATTTGTTTTGGTTCGTATACGGCTATCCCAAACCAAAAATGACTTATTATTTTAACGATAAATTAATTGAAATGGGAGGAAGATACGATTGCAGTTACACCAGGAATGGACAAGCTACGCTTTTCATAAATAAGTAAGCACATAAATTAGAACAATTAACTTTCAAGATGTACTGAATAAACCAAAATATACATTTGTTTTGTAGGTGTATCCCATTTTTCTCTAATATTTGTGCAACATTAATAATTAATAATTTTTCACTATTTACTTGACATTACCTCTTACATGGTGACACGAAAATTACATGTCTAAAAATATGAATAAAAAATAGAAGACTGGTTGCATAAGACTGTTGAACCATTTGGTTGTTTTCTATCAAACTAATCATTTTAAACGTCAATTTAACCCGTTGTTATCTATAATAACCCTGTTTTTATTTCCAATTAACTCTTTTTAACTTCAAATTAATCAATTTTAATTTTAAATTAACCCATTTTAATGTCTAATTGACCCTTTTTAATTTCAAATAACCATTTTTAACTTCTAATTAACTTATTTTACTTAAAATTCATCGTTTCTTTAAAGTAATAAAAAAAATGAGCAGTGGTATGAAATATTAGCAGGTGAAGTAAAATTCCTTTATATTTATGATTTTTTTTTAAATTTAGTATAATTATTTGATAGCCCAATTTTTTGATATTTGAAAAATTGTGAATTAATAAAAGAATAATTTATTTTTATATTTAAATGTATACCACTTTTAATTTTAATTTTAATTAATGTTCATCTGGTCTTCTACGAGCTTAATTATTTTAATAAAAAAAATAAAAAAATCATAAAACACGAATTTAGTTAACATGCTTATATTTCTACCATCTCTTAAGTTTATGGTAAAGTTGTATAGAAAAGGTTAATTTGAAATTAAAAAGGGGTAATTTGATTTTAAACAAAGTTAGTTTGAAATTAAAAAGGGTATATTTGAAATTAAAAAAGGTTAATTTGAAGTTAAAATGGTACATTGAAATTAAAAAGGGTAAATTGGAGTTAAAAAGAGGTTAATTATAAATTAAACATTATTTGAAATTAAAAGACATTAATTTGAAGTTAAAAGGGTAATTAAAAATTAAGATTATTTTGAAATGTTCATTTTAATTTAAAAGGGGTTAATTTTAAGTGAGAAAGATTAATTGGAACTTTAAGAAAACTTGAATTTTAAAAGGTTAATTTGAAGTTAAAATGGTACATTGAAATTAAAAAGGGTAAATTGAAGTTAAATAGAGATTAATTATAAATTAAACATTATTTGAAATTAAAAGAGGTTAATTTGAAGTTAAAAGGCTAATTGCAAATTAAGATTACTTTGAAATGTTAATTTTAATTTAAAAGGGGTTAATTTTAAGTCAGAAAGGTTAATTTGAACTTTAAGAAAAGTTAACTTGAAATTTAAAAGACTAATTTGAAATTAAAAAGGGTTAAGTTGAAGTTAAAAGGGTTAATGTAAAATTAAAAAGTGTTTATTTGGAATTAAAAAAGGATAATTTGAAGTTATGCAGGGATAAGTTGATGGAAAAAATTATGTATACAATATAATTAATTCTACTTTAGCTCCTTTGATCGTACTGGTTTTTTAAAAATAAAATACCTGTCTTTTAATTTTGTCGTTTAAGACTGACTGTACTAATATACTGTTAAGATATAAATAAAAAAAAATTGCAATTCGATTTATAGAATGTTGGACAGAGATGTTGGATCATATGAAGCTGTGGCTACAAATGAACATGGCGAAGCGAGGCAAAAGGTTCACCTTGAAATAGCCGAATATCCTGAATTTATCAAACGTCCTGAAGAGATGATCCTTGTAGTCCGTAATACAGGTCGACTCGAAGCGAGAGTCGTCGGTGTTCCACAACCCGACATTAAGTGGTTCAAGGATTGGCAGCCACTTGCACCCTCTTCAAGGATAAAGGTCAGTTTTATAATACTGTGCAAAAGGCTTTTAAATTTTAATTTTTTCCTATTTCTAGATAAATAGAATGGATCCTGACCATTGCAGTTTGACTATAAACGATGCTATTATGAAAGACACCGGTCTGTACAGCATCACTGCAAGCAATGTTGCTGGAGCTGTTAGCTGTTCTGTCATGATCCATGTTGAAGAAAAAGATGAGTATCCATTCCAGCATTATGGCCGTGGTCATAATGTCAAATGTAAGACTAAACCAATTAGCGACTATTATGATTTGGGTGACGAACTTGGAAGAGGAACCCAAGGAATTACTTACCATGCTGTTGAACGATCAACAGGTATAATCAATCAACAGATTTTTTTACTGACTCATCTGAATTTGAACACACTTTCAGGAAGGAACTATGCTGCTAAGATCATGCATGGTCGGAAAGAACTGAAAACACTGATGCACAATGAATTAGAAATGATGAATATGTTAAACAGTCGTAAGATCATTAAAATACATGATGCCTTTGAAACTCTGGATACTGTGACATTAATGATGGAGTTGTATCTTTTTTAAATCACTCAACTATTTGCAAATAAATCTAATGACCTTTCACAGAAAATTTTACTTCACCAGAGTAGCTTTTTTGTTTATTATTGTCTTTATAAATTTCATTTAATTTGTTCAAATACTTTTCTTTGGTTCAAGGAAAGGATAGTATATCTTTTTCCCCATTAGTTATGGAGTAAGGCAAGGGTGTATCATCAGCCATATGTTGTTTGCTATGAACAATGGTATTGTTTTATTGAAAAATCTCAACCATATGTCCAAAATTCAGAATGGTGTTAGCCACTTGGTCTATCCAGCAGTTTTTTAAGTAGTCCTAAACGTCTTTTGAGTTTTCATTTGACGTGAGTAGGCTTAATGTCAAGCCCTACGTTGCATAAGTCATTTACCTTATAGTGATGGATTGCCAGTGTCAACGCCTTAACCATAATGGTGAACTTAAAATTAAAAAATATTTATTTGATGAAAAAAGCTATACTTTTGATAGGTATTGGTGCACCTCTGTGCTGATCTGAAAGTATCTGTTGGTGAAGTAGAATCATAGCATCAGATAGCAGATAAACAGGGTTAATTAGAAATTAAAACTAGGTTAATTTGAGTTTAAAAATAGTTAATTTGATAAAAAACTATACTTCCATGAGGCACTCCTACATCTGTGCATTTACAATACAGTTCACTATTAGTAGAACTTGATGGTAAAAACTCAAGCTTAAATTGCGAGGATTGTTTATTTATCAGATACACAGTGTAATATTTTTCTCGTTAGGTTAATTTGAAATTAAAAAGAGTTAATTTAAGTTAAAAAAGGTTAATTTGAAATTAAAAATTGTTAATTTGAAGTTTAAAAAGGTAAATTTTAAATTAAAAAGTTAATTTGATGTTAAAATGGTTAATTTAAAGTTCAGAAGCGTTAGTTTGAAATTAAAAAAAGGTTTAGACAGAAAAAAGCCATTCCGGCAATGAATGACAACTTTTCCTAACCAAAATATCAGAGCTAGTGGAGGTGAACTTTTGGATGTAATGACTCGCCAACCATATACAACAGAATCTGAAATTGCAAGTTATATCAGGCAGTTATTGGTCGCTTTGGACTACATGCACGAACAAAATCTTGCTCATCTCGGTCTTACTGTAAGTATTGTTTCATAAGTTGTTAATTACACTTATCGTACAGTATCAATCTGATAATAAACTTTACAGCCTGGAGATCTTCTCGTATCTCACCCAGGAGGTGACGATTTGAAACTCTGCGATTTCGGACTTGCTAGAAGAATCCACCCAGGTCAACTCCAGCCCTTGGAATTTGGTATAAAGGCTTTCCATAATAGAAATAAAGTACTCGATGATTTTTTCTAAAAGTTGGAATTGAATTTAGGAATGCCTGAGTTTGTTTCTCCGGAGACAATCAGAGGAGAGGGTGTTGACTTTTCATCTGATATGTGGAGTGTGGGCGTCATTACGTATTTGCTCCTGACAGGAGTGTCACTATTTAGAGGCACCAATGACAAAGAAACACTAACCAAGGTAAGATATGAAATGTGAAGAATTAATAGTAACACTTCATAAAATAATCCCGTGGTTAAAAGGTGCGTGAAGGTTATTGGCAATTTGATGAAGAATACTGGACATATCTTTCAAAAGAAGCTAGAGATTTTATCAGTAAGCTTTTAATTGTAAATACCAGTGAAAGGTTGGACGTTAAAGCAGCATTGAGGCATCCATGGCTCAACTATGCCGACCGTTTACCACCAAATCTCCATAACATACCGACAGAAAAGCTCCATAATTATTTCAACCTTTGGAAGTAAGCTGTCCCAAACAGATTGTTTCTTGAATTTCATTTGAACTTTTTTTTTTCTTCAGAGATTGGTACAGCAATGCATCTTGCCGTACATGGTATCGCAGAAGACCTTTGGTAAGTGCTTTCACCCATCCTTCAAAGATGGTTTATCCTCCACATTATATAGCAACTCCTATGCCGTCACCTGAAAGAGAAATAAAAGACACGGATAACAAATCTACTTGGGCTGAGAAACTTTCATCACAGCAGCCCATGAATTATGATCTAGGTGTTATATCTTCAGAAAGTCAGTAAGTATTTTTTACATATTTCTTCGTATACATGTTCTTTTTTATTTATATATAATGTGCTAGAAACTTTTATGAGTGCAAAAATACAAATGCAAGAAATCTTGAGCTGTTATCGTACATCAGAGTATAATCTGTGAGTCTGGAGGGGAACTGTATAGTTTGAAAAAACCTGATGGGAAAACACATATTGACTTCAAGGAAAAATGGTTCATGGGTTAGAGACTTGATGTCAATACAGTGGAAATCTTAAATTCCTCCTTTTGCATGTTTCAGGTCTGATGTGACCAAGGTTAAATGTTAAAAGTCTATTAAGCAATATCCATTATTATCTAGAGTGCTTTGGTAAGCTTAAAACTTTTTATCAGATCACAAAACTTTGTCAAGGACTTTTTCTTCCTGGCATTATCTGCACAGGCTTGTTGCTGCTGCTCTGTGTCTGTATGTACCTCTAGAGTTTGCAGTGCCAAGTCAGCAGTCCAACCATCATTCTAGTCCTGACACATCTGGTTTATTACTATGAAGAGTTGGCCTCTTTATGGCATTGTGCACCAATGACCATTATTGTTCTAGAGCTCTTCTTTCAGCTTAAAGCAAAAAGCTTGGTTAAGGACACTCGTGTGTGTTCTTAAGGCCTGGGCTTTTCCAAGATAGGAATCTCAGCCTGCATAGGCCTTTGTACCAATAGAAGACATGTTTCGCTGTTTCTTCTTCCTGGCAATATCTGCCCAGGATAGTTCTGCTATTCCGAGTCTGTACATATGCATTGGGAGTTGGCAATGAACTGTCAGTAGTCCAACACATCCTGTTTAATAATACGAAGAGATGACCTTTGTATTACCAGTATTGGTCTAATTTGCTTTTTTTAACTCCAGGATTATCTAGAACTCTTTGTGAAGTCTAAAGCTTTTTATCAGATCACAAAGCTTTGCCAAGGACTCTCGTATGTAACTTCAGGTCTTGGCTTTTCATCTTTTACAAGAAGGAATCTTAGCCTGCATAGGCCTTCGCACCAACACTGTTTATTCTTTTTGGTTAGGGATGGTTAGGGCCTTGGCAAAATCTGCCCATGCTTGTTTCTACTGCTCCAAGTCTGCATGTGCCTCTGGAGTTTCCAGTGCCTTGTCAGCAATCCATTTATTGTAGCCCTAACACATCCGGTCAATAGTTTCTTCTATAGTCCTTTTGTAAACTTTCTCACATGCTTTTGCTCTGGAATAGTACTGAGAATCCATCAATCAATCTGTGTTTTTGGCAATTTGGCATACCGCAAAATGGCTCATGGCCAATATGTGTCCTTACATAACTTTCCTTGGTCAATTTATTGACTTCCTCATTGCCCCTCTGCCCTGTGTGTCCTGATATCTAAAAAAGGGTGAGGTTTACAGTTGTCTCCAATGTCTGATAGGGACTTGATGCAATCACAAGCAGTTTGGGACATATAAGTAGTCTTGCAGATCCTCCGATTTGTTTTCAAGCCAGTTTTTCTGCTTGTTCATTACCCAGAACTGAAGACAAAACTTCTGCCATTCCTAAATGGATTCCTACAATTCAGTATGGATTTAAACAAGACCACATTCAAAATACACAAAGGATAAAGATGGAACAGAAACATCGAGGGTTCAAGACAAAACAGCATACAGTTGTCATATTCCTAGACCTGCAGCAGGGAAATAAAAAAAAATTGAAATTAAAAATAGTTAATTTGAACTTAAAAGGATTGATATGATGGAAAAATCTATGTGTGTAGTGTCACTTCTGCATCATGACCAACTCTAACAAAATTAATTTTGATCTTTGTCTAGTTATCAAAATGGGCCAGACACGTATCTGCTTCAATTGAGAGATGTTGACTTCCCAGTCCGTATTAGAGAGTATATGAAAGTTGCTGCCCATCGTGGTTCTGGAGTATCTTCCTTCCCCGAAGACAACCACTTGGACTGGAGGGTATAATATCCACAATATTTCAATGCTTCGTCATAGTGATAATCTTTGTCTTTTGTGGGAGACTGTGGGAGTCAGGTTAAGTTTGCCCACGAAGGACAAAGTAGTCTGAAAGCTATTTAAAAAAAAAATAAATAAAACTTGATGGAAGTATTTAAGAAAAATAAAGGAGTGTTGAATCAAAACCATAACTACAACTTCATGTTAAATATATAATATTTTATTATACCCTTGATCTATTATATTTTTACAGCTGCCTGTCATACGAGAGAGAAGGCGTTTTACTGACGTAATGGATGAAGAAATCGATGATGAAAGAAAGAACAGGATCAGCCAATATGGTTATGGTGATACATATACTGTCAGGAGGTTGAAACACGAATTGGGAAGTCGTTTAGACACACATGTTGAAGCCGAAGCAATCATTGAAGCTACAAGGGGTGGACAGGTATATTTTACCAGTAATGAAGCTCATTAAGGTTCTTATTTTTTTTCTCTAAAAAAAAGGCTCCATTTATGAGGGAAAAACCAAAAATAACACCAATCGAAGAAGGTAAACCAGTTCAGTTATCTTGTTATGCTGTTGGAGACCCAAAACCTACAATTCAGTGGTTCAAGTAAGTCGTTTTAAATTATTTTTTATATTTTTTTAATGCGAGTCTAATTTGATTATTTTTGACATTTGTTTAGGAATGATATGATGTTTGGAAACTCAAATAGAATCAAGATTACTGAGGATGACAAAGGACGGTCTGTTTTAGAGTTACTCCCAGCTAGCTCTGTAGACGCTGGAATTTACAAAGTAGTAGCTAGAAACAGTATGGGTCAAACAGTGTGCCGTACGAGGTGAAAACAATTTACTTACAATAGTGTAATGTGATTTAAATATGGTGAAATTATATAGGCTTGTGCATGCAACTATTCCGGACGCGCCAGACTCTCCTCAGATGGCTGATGTCTCTGATAGTCAAATTTTACTCAAATGGAAACAGCCAAAACATGATGGAAATTCTCCTATCCTTAGTTATTCTCTCCAGAGACAACTTGTTGGTAATATACCAAATCATATCATAAATGTTGAAATACTTATTTGACAGTGTATTTAATTTAATTTAATAATATTCAGATGGATCCACTTGGAAGGATGTCAGTTGTACAATCGAACATGAATTCTTCCTTGTTGACGGCTTACAACCTGCAACTGGTTATTTATTCAGATTAGCCTCACAAAACTCAATCGGCTGGAGTGAATTTGGTATTCCATCTGAAGTCATGAGGACATTAGAAGAAGGTTAGTATTTTGTAAGATCAAGTCAGGCGTTTAGCCTAATTTCATTCCTGCCCCTAGGTTGTGAACCGATCAAGTTAACAAAGGCCATGAAAAGCCAGCAAGCATCAGAAATCAATGAAGAACTAAAGCCAGCCAAGCATGAACTCGATTATTCTGTTGAGACTTCTCCAATCCAATGGACAAAACAGTTGCCGACACAGAAATATACATTTGTGTCTGAAATTTCAAGGTAATTTTTTTTTGTCGTAAAGCTACCATAGTAATATCCATTTGTTACTATCATCTTTTTATAGTTGTAGACTAGAAAATAGATATATAAAATAATTATTAGATTTTTGAACTTAAAAAATGGCATATATAATTCACAAATCACCAGCTTATACACAACGATATAATTATTGAGTCAACTTCAACAGTTAATAACTTTAAAAATGTCATTAATTATTTCAGTGGAAGGTTTTCTGTTGTGGTAAAAGCGATCGATAAAACTACTGAAAAGACCAGAATCGCCAAATTGGTAGATTGCAGTCCTACTTCAAAGCCAAACGTCGAACGAGAATTTGAAGTTCTCAGATCATTGTGCCATGAGAGAATAGCTACACTTTTCGAAGCGTATGCGTAAGTACTCTTTATATTGACAGCGGTTTTTTTTTTTTTTTTTTTTTTTTTTAATTATATACATCCTTTAGTTTGCTTTATTCAATAAATATTAATGATTATTAATGATTGGTGAGAATAATCTTTCTACACAGCAGTTTGCTGATTCATTCTGGTTGAGAAGTTGTTGCGGAACATTTTCATTTAAAAAAATAAATAAAAATAAAAAAAAATAAAAAAAATATATATATATAAACATGGGTAGATATAGAAAATTATTGTAGTTAGATTCTGAAAATTCCTCAATGTTTCGGCTTCTCGCCTTCTTCAGTGCTGGGTGTGTGTGACTTTTGTTTGTTTTCATCAAAATCGGTAGCAAAATCTGTTAAATTTGTATTTAATAAAAACAAAATATTTAAACGTGAACCCAAAATTTTAAGGTTTGGTCCTTTGAACTTTAAATAAATTATTACTATAACTGGACTCAAAAACTGAAATCTTTGTAAATAAAACTCGCGCTTTGCACTTCAATATATATATCCTAACTTTTCACTAACCTATCCCTAATTCTAACCCTCCCTAACATAAGAACTCACTAATTCTACTTAATAAAACTCCTACCTAACCTATTTGTCTTATGACAAAAAATATGTGTATAAATTACTGCATAACTATTTTGCATTTTGTTACAGGCCAGTTGATGAATCCTATTCAGTATTTATTCTAGAGAAACTTCAGGGCGCTGATGTTTTAACGTACCTTTCAAGTAGACACGAATACACTGAGCAAATGGTCGCTACCATAATATCTCAGGTGATACCAATTTCAGCATAAGTTATATTGTAACAAATCTACTGATATTCAATTTGATGTTTTAGGTACTTGATGCCTTGCAATATCTACATTGGAGGTGTGTAGGTCATTTGGATTTACAACCTGATAATATTGTTATGGCATCTACGAGAACATTAGAAGTTAAATTAGTTGATTTCGGCTGTGCACAACGTGTCACCAAATTAGGAAATGTTGTCCAATTCCATGGAAATCTTGATTATACCGGTAGTCTATTTGTTACATGTCAAATATGTGTTATAATTGAACATTGTTTTAACAATGAATATTTTCAGCACCTGAAGTTTTATGTCAAGAACCGGCATATCCACAGTCTGACATATGGTCAGTCGGAGTTCTTGCATATGTAATGCTATCTGGTGTGTCACCTTTCCAAGGAGAAAATGCAGCCGAGACAAAGCAAAACATAAACTTTGTTAGATTCCGCTATGAATACCTTTACAAAGAATTGACACAGGAGGCAACCCGCTTCTTGATGTTGGTTTTCAAAAGGGCTCCAAAGTAAGTCTTAATGTAATTTTTACTCTATAATTATGACACCTTACCTAACCTAACTTAACCCACACACACTGAAAGCTGATCAATATGCAAAATAAAGCCACTGTAGGTCACCTCTTGCCTATACAAAATCGAGAAGTTGTAGAAGTACAGGCAGCAGAAAATGTAACCTTGAGAGCAGCTATAGCCAAGACCCATATCGAAGGGTCAAAGAGTGATGAAATATCACACCTATGAGAGCACACGGGTTGTAAGTGGCCACATATTTGAATGTGTGCTTTACGAACCTCAAGGGCATAAATTAATAAGGACCTTATTTGGAAAAGGATGATAGAAACTAATATTTTGGGTACTCGTATCATCATTTGCGGGAGGCTTCTTGCTATTTGTTGACTCGATTAATTGACATGAGTGAAAAAAATTACGTGTAAACAAAATATAAAAAACTTACTGGTAATGCGAAATAGCTGATGTGAAAATCGTCATGCAAATAAATAAAATAATAATAATAATAAATGTGCATCCAGGCCAAAAGTATATTCATATAAAAAGCTTATATTGGGGATAGAAAACCCAAATTCTTGCAAATTATAAAAAGTGGAAAACTTTGAAACATTACCAAAAAGCAGATAACACTGGGTTTAAATGTGAGATTACCTGTCGTGATATGAGGGGTGATGGACTTGTAATTTGATCGGTACCAATCATTTTGCCTTGCCTATCTACGCTGGTTTGGTCCAAACCAGTGAGGATAGATGATCAAATTACTAAGTTTAATATAGATAAATGGAACAAATGTTACTCTTAATTTGTGAATGACTTTATTTTTTATAAGACCAACATTTTTTAAGACTATATAACATTTTTTTATTGTACATTTTTAGTAAGCGTCCTAGTGCTGAAGAATGTCAGGAACATAGGTGGCTTCTTCCATCAGAGTACATGATCAAGAGAAGGGAAAGGGCTGTTTTCTTGGGAAATAGAATAAAGGTTAGTTGATGTTTTTGTTTTTAGAATTTATTATTTATGCTTCTTTATTGTGCTGTTTTTAATACTGAACACAACACTCCATCTGCAGTCAAATTCAGTCCTCTAATCATTAGTCACCTCCAAAACAATCCCCCAGTTTTGAAATTCTTGAAATCATCCAACAACTATAATATTCATTACCACCATTTACAACTTCTTAGAAGTACCTACTTTCCAATCAAATGGAATTGCCTCGATTGAGGCCACTACTTGGCAAAATTCTTGAAAAACTCAAAAACTTTCAATGTCATCAATTCAGCTTCAGGCAATATCACTCTACCATTCAACAATGCCGTAGGTTGGTAGATATCATTGCATCCTCTCGTGAGCAGAAAGAATGGTCTCAGGTGCTTCTTTGATATGAGGAAGCATTACTACTGTGACACCCTGGCTGAAAACTTGAGGGCATCCTCCCATTTCCTTATACCTCATCCTAAAATCAAGTACTAATCAGAACATCCTTCTATGCTGAAGTGAGTGTTCCTTAAAGCAGCATCTTATAAGTCCCTTTCTCTATACAGTATACCTGCAGACATTCCTATCAATCCGATACAATACTCCTGACACTGACAATACTGCAATCCTTTCAGCAAACCCAGACCTCGTAGTGACTTCAGAAACCTCCAAGATTATTTCTTCTGTTGGCAGAAAGGTTCAAGAAATGGAGAGTCAGATTCAACAAAACCAAGTCCCTACAAATAACTTTTACCTCTCCTCTAATCTAATACAAACACTATTAAATGGTTAAACCAAGTGTTCCAACCTCCAAAAAATTCAGTCTTCCCAGTCCAAAGTCCTTTGAACCATTGCCCAAGCTCCCTACATTGAATCCAACTTTACTATCCATACCATCAAATACTATTTGTCCTGGAAACTGCAAAAAAGTCAATATAGACATTCCCATAACACCTTGAATCATCATCCAATGACAATATAGACCCAATGGCCTTCAGAAATCTCCAGGACCATTTGTATTGTTTGCAAGAAAATGAAGGATCGATCTTAACAAAACCAAGTTTAAACAAATAGCCTTTACCTCTCCTCCAGTCTACCACAACTCTGTTCTTCTCCAATTTCGTCAACAGTAAATTACATAAAAGCCTACTTGACAAGAGATCTAAACTTTCACTATAAAACAAACGCCTCATTTACACATCATAACATAAAACCAATCTATACAGAACTATGTAGTTAAACTAAGCATTCCAACCCCAAATAATCCAGTCGCTCAGTCCAAATCCTTCAAACCATTTTCCAAGCTCCCTACTTCATATCCAACCTATCCACACAGACCTTCAAATCCCATTTATCTTTGTAAAAACAAGAAATTGATACAGGCGCTTTTATACAACCCTCGATCATCATCCCAACGACCTAACCTCTTACAATGATATGGCTATGCTTTCAGCAAACCAGGCCCAGTGGTTTCTAGAAACCTCCAGGACCATCTACCCTGTTTGGAAGAAACGTTTAAGAAAATAGAGGATCAAATTAAACTAAATCAAGTTTCAACAAATAGCCTTCACCTCTCCTCTAATCTACTGCACCTCTCCTTGCCAATGTCACTGACTATTTGGGACTACTTAAACACAGCTGCTTGACAACAGATTGCATATTTCAGTATAAAACAAATGCTTCATTTACACATCACTATTATCCTACAACCAATCTCGGTGAAATTGAACTGCAGTGTTTAACCAAATTTTCCAACCTCCAAAGAATTCAGTCACTCCAGTCCAACTATAATATAAAAGTCATAAAAGCAACAAAGTTGTTTTAAAATCTTTTTTACTTTACAGGAATACAGTGAGAAGTACCATCAAGCAAGAAAGGAGGAGGTAAGTTCAGTTGAATCACTTACATCACTATTAACGGGCAAAGGGGCATTGGAAAGATCGAACAGTATCCAAGAAGAATTGATCGCAACCTATTAAAATTTTATCACTAACACTGTGCAATCATTTTGAATGTGAAATTTCAAAATTTACAGTACCTTCGACATTTTGTAACTTAAACAATTTAAATTTATTTAAACTGATTTTCTTTCAATGGGTTTACTGTTACGAAATTGTGTAAGGGTTAAAAATGTATGATAATGTAATTAAAAAAAATGCAATAGGACATTGTAATGTTGAACATTAATTGGATTGTTCACTTACGAATTAAGAAAAACCGTCTAATTCCTAAGTTATATGAACGTAATTTATAAATTATATTTTACATTTTATATTGCAATCCTTATGTATTGACATTTTTAAGCACTTTGCATGCTTCATAATGTATGATTGTTTATATGTAAAATGAACCGATTTGTCAGTAAATTTAATATTGTATGTAAACCCACATTTTTTCCCAATATTAATGTAATAATAACAAAATGAATAAACTTTAAAGTGATATAAATCGTTTTCAATTCCTAAAGTAAGAATCACAAGGCTCTGGACATTATTCCACACTAAGTGATCAGTCCTAATGATTTTAACACAAGACTGTTTCCATTGAGAAAACTTTTCAGGTTTTGGAATTCCATAAATACTGCAGCCTGTTTTCCCTTAGTTCAAATTCAATAGAATGGATTCTTCTCTTGAGCTGTAAGTCATTGATTGGATGGGCAATATTGGCAGTTTTTTCTTCTTAATTGCATAACCTAGAAATCAGATATTGATGAGGTTCCACAACAAACAGTAGAATCAAATCCAGCCAAGGTACTTGAATAAATGCCAGAAACATGTCAAAGATGGCACAGTGATGTCAAGTGATCCTGGATGAACCTATTCCCCAGGAAATCCTCTTAGATGTTGAATGATGATGGTGAGAAAATTACCAGAAACCTAGGGTTTGGGATTCCCAAGAACTATAGCCTTTTGGCTTGTTGTGCATTAACTAGTTCCTCAGTTCAAGTTCAACTGACTATATGGATATACTTCTTAACAGAAGAAGGCAATTGACAGTATATAGCGGTAATTCCTTTTCCTGGGTCTTCTTTGTACTCCAGGTTATGTCTTCATTGAGCAGTTGCTTTGCATTTGAAGCAAATTCATTTTCCAGGGTGTTTTTGGTGCAACCCAACCCAAACAGTTCAAGCTTATCTAAAAACATTCCATGGTCAACCGTATCAAAGGCTTTACCAACGCCATCCTTCCACATCTATACACATACCACCGGAAGTGACAAGTCATCTGCAAAAAGCTACTCAAGCCATTGATATACAGGGTGAATTGCTACTCGTGCTACAAACTTCTCCAGTAGATTCTTCACCCTAAAATGAACAAAAAAGTTCATATTGTCCATGGTCCGATTCTCAACCATTTCAGAGTAATTTCGCTTTTTATCGATTTTGAAAGATATCACGTCCTGGCGTCGGAAAATCGTGATATCTTTTAATCTAAACATTTCTCTGAAAATCTAATAGCACCGTTGAAATTCCCGTTAATTTTTCAATAAGAAGATGACGGTGGCAAAATGTTTGGGCTAATTTTTTGTGTTTTATTTCAGCCAGAACTACAAAAAGAGTGGAAAATTGTGTAAATCGGAAAGTGTATAAAGTAATCCAGAGTTTCTAATTTTAGTCTCAGAAGGCAGCAAATTTGAGGAAAACTACCTGATTTAATAACGCTTCCAACGCACTCGTCATTTTCTTATTTAGTGGTTGTGAGACCAAGATGTTGATGACAAAAAGAGAAAAAATGGTGGTTCAAGGATTGCTAATGTTTGAGAGTGACTTGCTACTCGTGCTACAAACTTCACCAGTAGATTCTTGACCCTAAAATGAACAAAAAAGTTCATATTGACCATGGTCCGATTCTCAACCATTTCAGAGTAATTTCGCTTTTTATCGATTTTGAAAGATATCACGTCCTGGCGTCGGAAAATCGTGATATCTTTTAATCTAAACATTTCTCTTAAAATCTATAAGCACCGTTGAAATCCCCGTTAATTTTTCAATAAGAAGATGAAGGTGGCAAAACGTTTGGGTCGTTCTTCCTTGACCTTCTAGCTGTTTGTAAACTTCTTAAGCATTACATACTAAATGGGCATTAAATTAAATTAAAAAATTTCAATGGAATTATGATTTTGATTCTCTCTAAAAATTAACGGGGATTTCAACGGTGCTTATAGATTTTAAGAGAAATGTTTAGATTAAAAGATATCACGATTTTCCGACGCCAGGACGTGATATCTTTCAAAATCGATAAAAAGCGAAATTACTCTGAAATGGTTGAGAATCGGACCATGGACAATATGAACTTTTTTGTTCATTTTAGGGTGAAGAATCTACTGGAGAAGTTTGTAGCACGAGTAGCAATTCACCCTGTATAGTAAATAAAGGATATGACCCAGTACGGACCCCTCAGGCACTCTATGTTTAATCATTTTTATTATTTGCTGACTTCATTTTTTTCAAATAGGATTGTACAATCTTCAGTTGTTGGTGATCCACTTGATACCTTAGATTGGAATATTTTTGGTGATCTAGCAAATCAAATGCCTTGGCTATATTCAAAAATAGGCCTGCTACCTTCCTGTCAGCATTTATATTTGGATGTGCTAGTGACACAACTCACAAGTGCATTCTCAGTAATCTTTTTTCTTTGGATGCTATTAATTTTAAGAAAATATATTTATTACAATCCGTCACACCTTATTTACATTATGTAATGAGCTGGATTTACAAATGACGTAGGTCACATGTCGTGAGGGGAGTTAACAACCATTGTTGTTCTCCCAACTATAAGCGACGACTAATCCTTGTTTAGTAGGTTGTGAGGCCATCTATTCAGTCGTCTGGTAAGATTATAAAGGTGGTTTCTATTGGATAAGGATTGGGCAACTTGATGGGGTGAAAGAAGAAGTTTATTTTGGAAGGTGGAAAATGTTTTGAGTATTACTTTTTGCATGAGAGGGATTTTGAGGCGATTGAGAAGGGTGATGTTGCAGACTTAGTAAAGAGCATTGACTAGGGCTCGGAGGACTTTGGACTGGAAGGACTGGTCCTTACGTCTAGATTGGTTTTAGTATTGTTTTGTAGATTTTCAGTTGGTTTTGTGTTGAAACGATAGATTTGAGTGACAGTAGTCTTTGCAGTCTTTACAGCCAGAGCGTTTGTTTAATTACTGTTTGGTTGTCCGTGTTGGTTCCAGGTTTGTTTTGAAGAGAAACCAAGATAGCGGATCCAGTTTGTTTTTGGGATGGGAGCATTATTGAGGAATAATGATGTGTTTTGCTTTGAAGAGTGAATGATACATGGGTGATTTTGCTTTAATTAAGTGTATGTTCCATTCGGCTATTTGTATCAAGCTCCACCAAAACAATTGTGGGATGCAAGGTTGGTGGAGGGTCAAGTTATAGTAAAGTTATAGTATCTGCGGTGTAGAGGAGGTAAAGGATCGGTCCAAGTACACTACCCTGAGGTATTCTCGCTCCCAGAGGACACTAGTTGGAGTAGGCTGGTCCTTGGCAGACTCTAAAGAATCGTTTGATTAGGTATGAACAAAGGATTAGGTAGGGCATTTGGAAGGATGCACTTTAGTTTGTACAGTACGCCCCGAACCCTTCTATGGCATAGGAACCCACACTATCAACAAATAACACAGACAGAAGGACAAAAAGAAAATGACGGAACACTAAAATTCACTCATTGGACACAGTCAATTCAAGAATCAACTAACAAATTTTGGAAGAAAATCAATTACAGAATGTGTCAAAGGAAGCAGGAATAAACTGCGAATCCTAATAGGATTCTTAACAGGACACTGCAAGCTAAATGGATTGGAATAATGCAAGACGACACATGCAGATTCTGCAAAGAGGCAGAGGATACACATCTACTAACAAACTGCGGTGCTACACTTGCCCGCAGGAGGAAGTGCTTTGGGATGTGCAATGTGACCATAGAAAAGATTCAACCATTGAAACCGGGCATTAATCAAGTTCCTTGATGAAATAGGATTCGCAAGTGTGCTTTAGGCAGAGAACAGGGGATACAATAGCTCTTGAAGGGCGCAGTATATTACACCCCGACTATTACATCTACATCTACATCTTGTACAGGACGCTTATGTGTATTAAGTATAATAATAGTTTCATATGCTTCAGTATCATGAATGGGATGCATAAAAAAGGACATAGGCCTAATTGTTCTCCAGCAGATATTTAGAAAATTATTCAGACCAACGTTTCTTCTTACATTACGAACAGTTTCTCCAAACAAGTTCAGTAATTTCATTTATACCCCATACAAAAAAGATGGGTTTCATGCCATTGGAAGTTTAATTTCAAGCCCCTGTTTTCATAATTTAAAGCATTATTACGCGTTGGTACACCTCAGCAATCTATTTCGTTTTGGGTGAAAATTTATTGTGCATTTTTTCTCCCGTTGAGAGGCAATGAATTCAGAGTGTGTCACCTCCGCGGCCTGTTGTTTATAGTTCAGTGTAACCTATGTTCTCCTGTCTGCATATATAAATGGGGTAATCCGAGCCGTAAAGCAGACTTTACAGCCGGGTTCGCCGGCTTCCCCTTTCTTCACTTCCCATTCCAATCAGAAGCACCTAATACTTTCCGTAATTTTTTTTCACACTAGGACGAGACTTGATGGAAGAGAAGGCACTCACACTCTATCCCACCGTTAATAGGGGTCAAAAAGGATTAAACCCATATTATTCTCTGCCCTCTAAAATACGGGGGCAGGAAAGAATCGATGACGCCCACATGGGGCCGAAGTGAATTTTAAAACGACGGCTTTTAAAAGAGTCGGAAACCCTCACATGTATACGCTTTTAGCTCGTGAACTCATCAGTCTTTGGACGTAAAGCAGCCATTCATATTTTATACAAGGAGCCGACAGAAATCCATGGATCACATAAAATGAATACAAAATTAACCACAAAAAATCATTTCAGGAAAGGCATTGTTCTTTAACCAAAATGAAGGGGGTTCAAAAATTAAAAAAAAAAATTAACAATAAAATTAGTACGAGCGTTCTTGTCAATAATTTCTCAAAAATATGTTTTTTTATGCGTGCGTTTCAAGTTGAATACATATCAGTATATTTTCATTTTTACTTCGAATAAAGTAGTAATATGCAAGATTGTATTAAATTTGTTAGGATATAAAAAAGTTGCAAATAG